GTGCCTCAGTGGGTTAAGCCTCTGCTTTCGGCTCAGGTCATGATCTCAGGGTCCTGGGATCGAGGCCGGCACTGGGCTCTCTGCTCGGCAGGGAGCTTGCTTCCCCCTCTCTCTCTGCCTGCCTCTCTGTCTACCTGTGATCTATCAAATAAATAAAATAAAATCTCTTTAAAAATTAAATAAATAAATAATAAAATGACAGCTTAGTTTGAAACCTTAATTTCTGGTTATCATCGGTATGGAAAGAATTCCTGAGATGTGCTCTTTTGTCCTCAGTCACGGTCCGCATTTGTAGACATCTACTGGGTGAGAAGACAGGGAGGACCCTGTGGGGATCCTGGAATGGAGGTCTAGGGCTGCATTTTAAACCAAAGATTAAGAGAACAAATCTGTGTTTTAGAAAGAGTGTTCTAACAGCAGTGGAGATGACAAAGGAGAAGAAAGTCTGGAAATAGACCAGCAAGGAAATTCTGTCCCTCAGTCAACTTAAGAGCTATAGAGAACCACGGCACTGGGGGAGGGGGTGCAGGGGTATATGTGCGCACTAGATGAGGACAGACAGGAATGGATGTGAGAAATAACAAAGCTTAAGGCTAAATGAGATACAAGGACCGCCCAAAAGTGAGAATTCAGGAACAGGAAAGCTATGTTTTTGGGAAATCTAGAATGAGCATGGACTGAGACAAAGAATGAGATTCAAGGTCAATTAACACAACTTCATATTCAAGTGCCAACTCTTCATCATGACACTGGACGTAACAACAAAATCTACAGCCACAACTACTCTATTGAGCACTTTCTGAGCACCAAGCACTGTGCCACATTATCCCATGCAATCCTCTTAACACTGAGAAGTAGAATTATCATCAATCCGGTTAGAAGAGGTTAGGAGGAGGTTACAGGTTAGGAAAGGAGGGACAGGACTGGCTGGGATATTGCCCATAAAGAATTTAGCATGTTGCCTGGACAGAGGAAACGGGCACTGATGTTAGCTATCCTTTTCAACCACTAGGCTCTACAGCAAACTTGGAACACACTTTATTCCCTCCAAATGCAGCCAATCCTTTCATTTTTAGTATGAATTTCACCTTCTCTTTATTGAATTCAGCAAAATAACAAATCACCCCCTTAGTCTCCAGTGGTTTTACCAGGTACAGACTATATGGCTAGGCAGCACTGAAAGGAATAAAAAATCAAAGTAAACCTATGTCTTGTCCATGCATGCACAGATTATAATTTAGCTGGATAATCACTGACTATGCCATGTTCTGAACCCCAAGTTCCAAATTCCCTGAGGGCAGAGAGTGCACACTCTCCAAGCTGGGAGAATCAGACCAAGCTACGAAGACGAAGGTAAACCAGATTCTGGAAGGGTGGAAAGAACCGAACAAGAAGAAAGCAAGGAGGACCTGATGCACTGAAGGCTGGAATAGCCAGCAAACAAGAACAGGTGCAAAGAACTCAAAAGTGTTCATTTTTTTAAATAACAAAAATGTATTAAGTAGCTCTTAGGTGTGGGATCAAATGAAGTATGATAAAGGAAAACAAAAAATATTAGCTACTATACTTCTGGAATCAAAAGATTTGTAAGCTACTTCTAGAAACCCCATACAACCAAAATCCTGGGGAGGAGGCCTCAGCAAGAGACAGTATGAATGATACCAGATGTATTAACTATGCAGGAGATGCCAATCAACTGCTAAAAACACCATCGGCTGAAATCTGAAAGGAATACTACACGTAAGACCAAATCCACACTCGATGTACACACCCTTATTCTTCCCTCTGCATTCATGCTGTCAATTTTTCCGAGAGACAAAACGGGGTGAAAGTCTCCTCAGAAGTAGGATGTGAAACAATTTAAGGTTATTATTTAAAGCTATGAAAGGTCACAAATTGCTTAGCAAAGGTGTAACACAAGAAAAAATTCTAGGGGCGTCTGGGTGGCTCAGTGGGTTAAAGCTCAGGTCATGATCTCAGGGTCTTGGGATAGAGCCCCGCATCGGGCTCTCTGCTCAGCGGGGAGTCGGCTTCCCCCTCTCTGCCTGCCTCTCTGCCTACTTGTGATCTCTGTCAAGTAAATAAATAAAATCTTCAAAAAAAAAAAAAAAAAGAAAGAAAAAATGCTAAATGTTAAAAAAAAAGTGATTGTGTTTTATCAACAGTAGGATCATTTTCTACTTCCTTAAAGTGTGCGTGGCAAAGTGACAAACAACTTTTTCAATGCAGCATTATCTGCCAACATTCCTGAAAAGGAGCAACAGTTTTAAATACTGCTTGAGAACAAAAACAGAGAGATTGATTTTATTTGAAATAAATCTAGAGAATGAGTGGACTCACTCATAATATTAAATCAATAGTGTGATTCCCAAGGCCAGCATATAACTGCTGTACTATGTACACTCCTGTCAAATGTTTATTTTCCAATACATGAGCCAAAGAAACTAAATGAGGAACCAGCCGTGAACTGGTTCCTCATTAGAGAGGTCCAAGAAGACACTTCCTAGGAAATACGCATGAGCTGCTAAAGCAAATAAAGTTTCAATTTGGGAGAACAACCCTAAGTTATAACCAACACTCACCATATATTCATCTTTCTAATATCTCATATTTAACTTCTCTAAGCATTAACCACACAGATGTAACAACTCTTTCTGAACACAGGAGTAAACATTCCCTGCTGACAAACGGCAGACCTCATAATGATCATACCAGTATGGGTTAATACTTTAGAAAACAAAAATTAAAACTCTTTAGAAAGTATCACTGCTGGGGTGCCTGGGTGGCTCAGTCTGTTAAGCGTCTGCCTTCGGCTCAGGTCATGATCCCAGGGTCCTGGAATTGAGGCCCGCATCGGGTTCTCTGCTCCTCGGGAAGCCTGCTTCTCCCTATCCTCAGCCCCTGCTTGTGCTCTCTCTCCCTGTGTCAAATGGATAAATAAAATCTTTAAAAAAGAAAGAAAGAGGGGCACCTGCGTGGCTCAGAGGGTTAAGCCTCTGCCTTCTGCTCATGTCATGATCTCAGGGTCCTGGGATCGAGCCCTGCATCAGGCTCTCTGCTCGGCGGGGAGCCTGCTTCCTCCTGTCTCTCTGCCTGCCTATGATCTCTGTCTGTCAAATAAAGAAATAAAATCTTTTAAAAGAAATAAATAAAAAAGGACGGAAGGAAGAAAGGAAGGATGGATCACTGCAGTCTTAGGCTTTATGACAGGAAATACTGGTTCTATGTATTTCTTTAAGTAATCTCTATATCTCACGTGGGGCTCGGACTCACAGCCCAGAGACCAAGAGTAAGTAGCATGCTCTTCCGACTGAGCCAGCCAGGAGCCCCTGGTTTTATGTATTTAACACTTCGAAAGCACTTACATTTTACCTCCTCATCTAATCTCTACAGCGTTGTACAGAAATCTGCTTGACAGCCTGTTTTCGTACATTACACCCAGAGAGGATGATACAGTGGAAAGAAAACAGGCTGAGGTTGGGTCAGAGCCAATTTCCACAAAGGACGATTCATCTCTGTGACCAACCTGGAGTTCAAAGTGAGAAACACTGGACACAATCACATGTTCCACGGACACCTACTGCTGAGGTCACCCCACCACCTTAACAGAAAAGGAAGACCCTATTCTCTTCCCACCCATCTTCAGTCTTCTATTCAAAATAATTCAAGAGAAGATCTCTATTCTCAACTTTTTTTTTTTTTTAAGATTTTACTTGACAGAAAGAGAGATCACAAGGAGGCAGAAAGGCAGGCAGAGAGAGGGGGAAGCAGGCTCCCCACTGAGCAGAGTCAGATGTGAGACTCCATCCCAGGACCCTGAGATCATGACCTGAACTGAAGGCAGAGGCTTTAACCTCCTGAGCCACCCAGGCGCCCCTCTACTCTCAACTCTTCACAGAAGAGCCACTTTAGAAAATAAAAGTTCACTACTTAAATCTGGATCCTTCCATTTAAACCCTCACTTGAGCACCTAATTCTCCGCACCAGTCACTGTTACTTCAAGAATTCCTTTCAAATGTTTCTGACCCAAGGGCTCCAGTGGGTTGAGGAACCAGGCTCTTTGGGATCCCACCTTTCCTCATGAAAGACACCTAGGACACAGATGGGAAGGGGGGTGGATTCAAAAGGAAACAAACCCCAAAGACCTAAAAAGAGCTGTCTTCCAGGTTAACTTCTTCCACAAAACGTAACTTGCTATTCCGATCACAAGAGAAATTCACTGGCACTTGCCAACAGCACCCTGAGTCACCAGGAGCACCCCTTCCCGGCCCTGGGACGTTGCACATAACCCCTCCCCCCCACCCCCGTGGTCTTCCATTCGGAGTTCTGGCCACTGTGCCCGTCGGACGGGCACGGATCGCGGTCGCAGCGCAAGGACGCAGCACCTGCTCCATCGCCGGCATCAGGCCCGGGGCTGAAGAACCGCAGGTGGGCAGCTGGTCGCCGGCTCTCCAGCCTCGTGGGAAACACAGGACGCTACCAGCGACCTCCGAGCGGAAGGGCTGAGCCAACCGCTTCGTTTCCGAATTCCATCTGACCTGTTTCCACTCCACACACCACAAAGCCACAGACCAGACCTAAAATCAGGACGCTGCGCCCAAATACCGATCCGCAGACACTACAGGACGGCTCTCACCCAGGGCAGCACAGACCACAAAGGCACGGTCGTTTCCTGCCGGCTTCGCTCCGTGCTCCCGCCTCCCCGTCCTCGGGGTAGGACACTGCTAGCCGGGCGTGACGCACTGGACGGTGCGGGGGGGGGGGGGGGGGGGGGGGGGGGCGGCAGGTCCACGCAGCAGGCTCAGACTAACGAGAGCTGGGCGCAGACTACCTATACCTGGGGTCCCGCGTGCTGAAGAGAGTGCAGGGCAGCGGACGCCTCGCCGACCCGCGGGACCGAGAGCGAGGCCGGGCGGGCCGTGGGGGCGGGGCTCTGTGGGGATCCGGGCTCCTCGGAGGGTCCGGGTGGGGTGGGAGTCCGGCGCCCGCCGTGCACCCACCTTGGCGAGCTTTCAGCAGCAGCGTGTTGGCCACGAAATTCTCAAGTTCCACAGCCCGCAGGCGCCGCCGCCGCCGCCGCCGGGATCCGCGGGTACGAGGAGGGGACGGCGAAGGAGAAGGCGCCGCCACCTCAGCGCATTCCTCGCAGGACGCCACCTGCCCTGGCGACCCCGCGCGGGGTCCGGGGGAGCTGCCCCGCCGCCGCCGCCGCCGACCCTCCAGTTGTGGCTGCTGCCGCCGCCGCCGCCACGGCCACGGCCACGACCACCACCCGCCGCGCCGCCTCCGGGCCCGTCTGCGACGCCGACGCCGACGCCGCCGCCGCCGCCTCGGCCGCTGCCGGCGCGGGCCAGGGGAGCCCCGGTCCTCGGGGCCCGGACCCCCGGCGGGGGCGTCGCTGAGGCGAGGGGAGCCGGCAGTGCGGTCGCCGGGGAACTCCGCGCTCACCGCCGCCGCGCCGGGGCCCGGGCTCTCGTCCGCATCGCTCGCGCCTGGCACGGGCAACTTGCTCCTCGGAGCCCGGCTCCCGGGACGCCCGGAGTCTCCGCCGAGCCCCACCTTAGGGCGGGCTCCCCGGCCGCGCCCGCGCCGTGCCCCGGCGGCGGCGGCTGCTACTGCTGCCGCCGCCGCCGCCGCCTACCCGCACCGCGGCCGGCTCCCTCCAACGGATTCCCAGAAGAGGGAACCGAGCACTGCCCTCGTCGCCGCGCCCTGAGGCGGGTGCGACGCAGCGCCGCGCGGCACTGGGCACATCCGCTCCCAGAAGGCCGCGCGCAGGGAGGGGGCGGTGCGTCGGAAGAGCGTGGCCTGCTGGGAGTTGTAGTCGCTCGCCTGCAGACGCGTAGGCTGGCCTGCGGGCTGCGTGCACTCACGGCGGCTCTTTGGCTATCGCGCGACGAGGACGGGGAGGTTCCCCGGGGCCGCCCGCATTTCCGGCGGCGGTTCGCCCAGTGGCCGGCAGAGTGTGGCTGAGGGCTGGCGGGGGCGCCATGGGCAAGGCCAGGCCGGCGGCGGCGCGCAAGAGGGGAGCCGTGGCGCCGGCGGGGGCGCAGGGCGGCCGAGCGAGGCCCAACCCCAACCCGTTTGAGGTGAAGGTGAACCGACAGAAGTTTCCGGTGCTGGGCAGGAAGGCGCGCCACGCCGTGGGGCAGCCCGGGGTGTCGCGCGCGCGGGCCGTGCACAAGGTGAGGGTCGGGGGTCGCGCCGCTGGGACCGGCGGGGGCGCGTGCCTGGCCGGGACACTGCGTCCCGCGGGCGGAGCGCGAGTCCCGGGTCTCCCCCTGGCGAGCTGCAGGGAGCCGGCCCGGGAAACGGCGCTAGGTGGGCACGCGGCGCGCGTGTGCTCCCGGCCTCCGGGCCCCGGCGCGGGGCGCCAGTGCGCGCCTCCTGCAGCCGTCCCTGCGGGGGCGTACAGCCTCTGGTCTGGCTGCCGCTCATCCTTGCCTTCGCAGGGGAGGGAGGTCACGGATGTAGGGGGACGAGGGCGTCTCTCTTTCCGAGCGCAGCAGCGTGTCCCGCGCGTGGGGACCGAAATGCCACGTTCCGTGCTTTCGGTCCCCGAGTATCCCGCGCCTTTCGGGCTGCGTTCAGACGGCACTCCGTGTGCGGCCTCCGAGACGTGGTCTTCGGTGTGACAGTGTTAGTTGTTGCCGTGGGGAAGACACATAGTATCCTACAGAAAACATCAGGATGCGGGGGGAAGTTGGGGCACGGCAGGACCTGCGCGTTTCCCAGGATCTCAGGGAAGGGCGAGGCTTGCTCTGGGTTTGAATGTGAAGCTAGAAGCTCCCTCCCTCTTAGCTGCTGGGAGATGGAGGTCAGTGAAGACCGGACCCCAGCCTAACGGGGCCTGCCATCCCTGTTCTGCCATCAGGGCGCTGTCCAGACCTTCTAACTGAACCGGCTCTCATCCTTACTGCAAGAAGCTGACAAGATGAACTTATGGGGGTGCTGATGAGGCCCCGAGGGCACACTCCAGGGCAGCCACCAGGGACCTGGCCACGTGGGCTCTAGAGGGGCCCCATTTGTTTCCACCAGCTAAGCGTGTTTTCTCAGTTCTAGAGCTCAGATGATAATACCCATCCTTTCCCTAACGGTCACTGTAAGGTTAAGTGGCACATTGAGTCCATACTGGGTGATATATAAACAACTGGCTTTTATTCTTAAATTTCTCAGCTTGTCCTTCTCAGACCCCTTGACGATCTGGGCACAACCTGTTGTGCTTGCTTTGCCTCTTGCAACTCAGTTTGTCCAAAAAGTCCTGTCTTGTCCCCCCCCCCATATCCCCCAGGGGCCAGCACTAGTCACCACGTCTGCTACTTTCCCAAGCCCTACAGCCCAAACAGGGCAGCTTGCTCATGCCCGTAGTACCGGACGGAGTCACCTCAGTGCCCTGTTCAAAGGCCTGCAGTGAATGGCCTGGAGGCAGGTGTTGGTGCCTCTTCTGATCCCTGTGCTTTGGGGGCTCAAGTCAGAAGGTAGGATAGGAAGATCAGAAACTCCTTCATAGAGGGAGTCACACTCGAGATCAGAAGGGTGAGCAAAATGCCAGAGGTGGAGACGAAGGCACACTGTCCCCTGTCACGGAGTGTGTGGCACAGCATGGGGTGGGAGAACTCAGCTGTGCTGAGGGTACTCAGGTTGTCTAGGCAGTTGGAGCGTGCTGTGTGCATCAGAACACACAGGGTGGCAAGGTGGGCCTGGTCTTCTCGACGGTGACCATCCCTCAGAATCAAATGCACATGTGTCTTCTGCTTCAGTCAGTGGTGGCACTGGGCGGCAGCTGTGTGCACAGCGAGACTGTGGTGCGGGTCCCAGAGCCATCTTGGGGTGACTGGGCCTCACTTTCCATTCTCACACCAGCAGTGAGGTAAGCCGAGTTGATGTGTCTGTCATCCCTCCCAACGGCACAGGTGTTGTACCAAGAAGCACACAGTTGCTCTTATGAGGGGAATACTGGTATTATCCCTATTTACACATGAGAAAATGGGAGACGAGGAGCCGTTCCAGGATTCCAGGATTTTCATCAGGTCGGGAGTGGGGAAGCCGAGCTCCAAACCCACACTTGAGTGTGTAACACACAGCAGTACCTGTGCCCAGCTCTGTCTGGAGCCATCTTGTGTAAATTCTTGTGATCCTGTAGCAACAGCCAGCAGGAAGGTGAGGGCTCTGGAGTCAGAGAGGCTAGGTCCCCACCTCCAGAGTCCGAGCTGTCACACTCATGACTGTACCTTCTAGGCCTCACATGAATGAATGACCACGAAAATGCTGTGGGTAGTGGTTTGGGGTCGCAGTAACCTTTAGCAAGTAGGCAGATTTGCAGACCTGGAATCCCAGAGGAGCAAGGACTGACTGTATACAAGAGAAGACATTCATGTGACCAAGAGAAAATAAGCAATCTTACTACAGTCTCTGTGTCTAATTGGTCAGGACGTTGTAGTTGACATGTATGGCGTCCTTTCCACCTCCTCGTTCGTTTCCCTTCCTCTCGGCTAGAACTTGATGAGCTCCTCTGGCCTCTCTACCTGGCGGAGCGACTTCTCTGTGCTCATCGTTTGGCTTTCTTGAAGTTGCTGCTGTTTTTCTTTCACCTCTAGTTCTGGGCACAGAAGTCCCAAGGTGCGCCCCAGAGAGCCCCCTAAGCTCCAGACACAGTCCTCTCTGCCTTCATTGTACGGGGGCAACCCCACTTCCTCAGTAACTGAAACCCATCTTTCCAGCCAGTAGATTAGCCCTTTCTTTGACTGTTGTTGTCAGTGGCATCTTACAGTTCACTGGAGCAACCATGTGTCCCCTGTGGGAGCAGTTTCTCTGTAGGGACCAAGATCGCCAAGCCATCGGAGCTCAAAGTTGCCAGGACCTGTGCGAGATTTTTCTGTGATCTCTTTTCCAGCGTACCCAGACATTACTGAAGGAGTACAAGGAAAGGGACAAGTCCAACGTGTTCACAGATAAGCGCTATGGGGAGTACAGTAGCACCATGAGCCCAGAGGAGAAGATGATGAAGAGGTTTGCCCTGGAGCAGCAGGTGTGCAGGACAACGGGAGGGGGTCTGACGCCGCCGTTGCTCATGGAAGTCCAGCACAAGCAGGCGGTTGCCCTGTCATTCACTTACACTCACGTGGGCACGCCCCCCATGAGGTACAGTGTGCGTGCTGCTCCTTGTCTGCCACCAGCCGGGTGGAGAAGTGTCGTGACTCGAGGACACAGTGGTGATGTGTTCTGAGTTCTAGACTGACGTGCAGCCCCTGGCTTGGTCGGGTGGAGAGCCAATCGATGGTGGAACACTGGCAGGATTTAGCCATGGCTCAGGCTGGCCCCTGAATGGTTTACCTCCTGTGGGCTCTGTTTATCTTTGGAACATTGCTCAAATGACCCAGAAAGTCTGATGTGCTTGGGCTACATTGTCACATTATAGAAACAGTGGGAAAATAACGGGGTTTTGCTATTAAACAGATATGGAAATTTTAGGAAGCTGATTTTTCTCTTCTTCTGTCAGCGGCAACATGAGAAAAAAAGCATCTACAACCTAAACGAAGATGAAGAATTAACTCATTATGGCCAGTCTTTGGCAGACATCGAGAAGCATAATGACATTGTCGATAGTGACAGCGACACTGAGGAACGTGGAACACTGTCTGGTACGGGCTGGGAGCAAGGGTACAGTCTGCTAGTTCTGTCCTCTGTGCCTTTCTCTCTGTATGGCTCATTGTTTGAGGTTTTTTTTTTTTTTTTGGTGCGTGCTTACCTGTTAAATGTGGTCACTTGGACGGTCCTAACTCACTATGATGAAGGTAGGCGCTTAGTACCTTCATGTTGACAAGCTGGTCTTCACAAGGCAACTGGCCTTGGACTTATCAGCATGAGAGGCTGTGATTTCCAGGTGACTGGGGGGTCAGGCTCCATGTGTTCCCATTGTTGGGTCTTGGGGGCTCAACTGTTCCGTAGAGAGTCTCTGGCATCCTTTGATTCTGATTATGAGCTCTTCAAAACCCAAGTAACTTAGAAAAGCTCTTACTTTTGAATGTGTGTGTATTTACTGTAACTTTACAAATAAATCAATAGGAAACACATATTTTGTCCAGCTGTGTGATGCGGTGACCTCCCCTAGAGTAGGAGAGGTTCATCGGAAAGGTTGACCCTGTCGGGTAGCTCTTACCTCGTGATGGAGGTGTGCGAGGGATCAGAGGCTTCCCAGGGTTTCAGCTGGAGCACCTAATGATGTGGGACTGCCAGTTACCGAGATGGGCTACACTGTGACACACACTGGCTTTGGGCAGCTTGAAATGCCATCCAACATCCGGGGAAGGTCTCATAGAAGCTGCTGCCTTAGGGGTGGGAGGAAAAGAGCAGGCCACTGCTGAGTCCTGGAGCTCAGGGGCAAGCCACGTGGCAAGAGCCTTTCCAGAAGTGTGTGGGAAGGGGGCCGAGCTGCTGGCAGGAGGAGCCGTGGGAACTTGTGAGTCCACCCCAGGGGGGTGGCAGGAAGCCAAGGGGAGTGATGGAAGAGCTGGGGAGAGTGAGGACTGAAGGCAAGGGTTCCAGGAGCCATGGAGGGGGAGGGTGGTCAGGAGCACCTGGGTAGGAGAGAAACCCAATAGAACGAGAAAAATTGATTTGGGACAAAGGCAGTTGAGTTGCTCAGGTCGTTTCCTTGAGTAGCTGGGAAGGGACAGCCCAGACATTTGAGCTCTAGGGCTGCTCTAGGGGGCAGAGCAGGGGGAGCTGAGAGCTGGTGGGAGTGGAGCACCCCGGCCCTGGTGACTCACTGCCAGGCGGCCTCGAGAGCCTGCCGGGAGTCAGCGGTTCTGTACACTGGCCTCTCCTTCCTGCACACATGTCATCTGCGCAGGTGTGGCTGGGAGCAGGGGCAGGGTTGTGGGTCCTGCTCTGGGAAACCGGCCCTAATGTTCTGTTTCTGTTCCTGGCAGATTTGGGGAAAATGGCTCCCCACGTTAGCGTCTGTTTTCTCATCTGAGGTGCTGGGTTTTTTAAGGTTTCTGTCCATTCCTGAGTTGATGATTCCCACAGCATTTTCTCTCTTCTGCCACATAACGGGGCCAACTAAACATCATGGCTCTGGCTGCGGCCCCAGCTTCCTGACCTTAGGCTTAGGCTCTGAGCCTTGCCCGAGCAGGCGTGAAGGATGTTGGTTCTCACATGGCCCGATCCTGGGCACTCCATCCTGAGACTCGGACTCCAGCTTGTTTTACTGTGCTTGCTGATTGTGAGATTCAAACGCAGCGAGCAAGTAGATCCTTGGTGTTTCCAGGCATCGGGTCACGGTCAGGGGCTATTTGATGGCTCTGAGTTTTCTCAGGGTGGTTCATCCTGTGGATTTCTTGTCTTTTTTTTTTTTTTTTTTTTTTTAGGTTTTTGTTTTGTTTTCTTTTTTAATTTATTTATTCATGAGAGACAGGGCGGCAGAGGGGGAAGCAGGCTCTCCACGGGGCAGGGAACCCGATGAAGGACTTGATCCCAGGACCCTGGGATCATGACCCAAACTGAAAGCAGTTACTTAACAACTGAGCCACCCGGACGCCTGCGTTCTGGGGATTTCTTAAGTGCCCCTGTGCCTGGGGTCTCGTGCAGCCACGTTGCGGGAGAATTGGTTCTTGCAGGTGGAGTTGGTTCTCAGACCTGCCCCTGGGTAGACGTTGGCAGACCAGTGCAGGAACTGGTTTGGGCACCAGCACCAGCTTCACAGACACCTTTTCTGCTCTTGGTCCCCAGCCGAGCTGACCGCTGCCCATTTCGGAGGTGGTGGCGGGCTACTTCATAAGAAGACCCCGCAGCAGCAAGGAGAAGAGGGGGGGAAGCCGAGGTCACGCAGAGAACTCATTGAAGAGCTCATTGCCAAGTCCAAGCAGGAGAAGGTGCGTTAGTGCTCCCGGCGCTCTGTCCAGGGATCCTCCCCGAAACAGCTCCGGGGCTGCTTTTCTTTGTGTCTAGGTTGTATTTAACATCTTCTGTGACCTTAATAGAAGCATTCGTTTTGGATAGGACTATTTTGAATTTCATCTTGTATATACTTTTCACAGTCTGTTGTGTTTTGGGGTTGGGGGTGTCTTTGGTGGGTTGGTTTTATATGTTGGTGTGTATGCCTGTCTTTGATCAGCAGCAAACCGCTCAGAGCATCGAGATGGCCAGTTGATAGCAGGGACTCAGCTCTGTGTGATGAGATTCTGTAGCTGCACTCTTCTGAGATCCTCCTCTCTCGGGCTCTCTGTTCTGCTGCTACATTACGCATAGACTGGCGAGCGAGGCTTCTTGCTCGCGGCCCCACACTGGCAGCACGCTTCACTTCTGTACTCTCTCTGCAGAGGGAGAGACAAGCACAACGGGAAGGTGCTCTGGAGCTCACGGAGAAGCTGGACCAAGACTGGAAAGAAATCCAGACTCTCCTGGCACACAGAACTCCCAAGTCTGAGAACAAGGATAAGAAGGAGAGACCCAAGGTGGGTATCAAGCTGACTGGTCCTTTCTCTGGAGGAAAGGTGGAGACCGGCGTCCCTTCAGGCCTGTTCCTTGACGTGGATAGCCGCCCTCCTTTTCTTAGTTCCTGTGTTTTCCTATGAGCATTCATGGAGTTTCTGGAACCGTGTGGTGTCCGTGTAGAGCTGGGCAGAAAGAGGCTTCAGCATCTCCGCCCGGATAACTAAACTAAAGAAAATGTTCTTGGTAGGAGCAGTCCTTCAAGGGGAGGGCTTCTTCAGATGTTGTTTGACTTTTTCAGTTACATGTCCACATGGCCATATATACGGTTACTGAGTTTTCCCTCCGGACAGTGGGCAGCTCCTACCACTTTAGTCTAAATTGTTGAAAAGTGGCATTCAGCTATGTGTCTGGCTTTTAGGAAGTATGTGGGATTTCATCAGATGGCCATGTCATGTGGCCAGCTGTCCACCTTTGTGGGCCACGGACACTGTTGCTGCCACGTTTACCCCAGCCTGTTTTGTGGGCTGCATGCCTAATGAGCAATGTTTAGTTTTGTTAAAGCAGGCCTGTTTTGAGAATTGTCCAGGAGTAGAAAATCCTCTCTGACCTTAAAGGGTTCTGTAGACTGATGAAAACAGTTTTCTTTCAAGTAGGAAAGACTTGGTTACCGTCTGGCTCCCTCCAGCGTGGTGTCCGCACGTTACTGGATATGCAGGAAGCTGCCTGTGCAAATTGTTAAAAATAAAAAACAACCAGAAGTAAAAAGTTTCTTCTTTCTGCCATAGCCTGATGCATATGACATGATGGTTCGCGAGCTGGGCTTTGAGATGAAGGCCCAGCCCTCTGACCGGATGAAGTCAGAAGAGGAGCTGGCCAAGGAGGAGCAGGAGCGGCTTCAGCAGCTGGAGGTGCGGGTGTGACCGTGACCTTGACCGTGGGGCCTGGCACCACTCGGGCCTGCGGGATCTGGGTTTGAGGCCTTTCCTCTCTGTTTTTGAGGTGGGCTGCAGATGTGCTGTTTTATCAAAGGAATCTTCTTAGACTTTTTAAAATTTATAAAGTTTCTTTTTCTCTAAATTCCATTTTTTATTCTAAAAGCAAAAAAATTGCAGATGATACCCAGATATACCAAATAAGAAATGAATGCTCTGATTCTTTTATCTAAAAACAGCTGCTAACAGTACAGTGCACAGTCTTCTCAACTGATTTTCTGTGCCTTAAAGGGCTTTTAAATTTTTGTTGCATTAGAACAAAAACGAACATTGACATGCTGTTCTGTCTTGGGCCCTGTAGTCCAGCGCCACTGGGGCCTCTTCTTTGCTGGCAGCCTGTGTGCAGACAGCTGCGTGGTTGAGCCCCCACCCTCACCCCCGTGGCCATGGAGCGGGGAGTGAGGTCCACTCGGCTTGGGGCTGGACAGACTATAGACGCGCAGGCTTGCCTTCCGATGCCCAGACACACTTGTGCCGTGATGCTTCCGTTTGTGTGCGGTAGGAGGTGTTGCATGTGATGCTTCCATAGTCCCCACACACGAGGGAGAAGCAGGCTTGGAACCCCGGCCCGACGATGGTTGGAGGGCAGGGCCAGCGGGCCTCTCGCAATGTGCTTCCTTCTTGCCCAGGCTGCACGGCTACGGAGAATGCATGGCGAGGATGAGGGCAGCGAGGCTAGGAAACCGAAGCACCTGTCCGCGGATGACTTAAATGACGGCTTCGTTCTGGACAAAGATGACAGGCGCCTACTGTCCTACATGGTAAGGGGTTTGCCTTTGCCGGCTGGCTTGCTCTCTGAATTCAGAAGCTGTTTCTGGAATCTGAACGGCTCATCGTGGTGGAGTGGGTCTGTGAGAATACCCGTGCGGTCTGCATCTGGGAGCGCCTGGCTGATCCAATCCCGCACCCATGGGCAGGCTGCCTGGATGGATCTTCACGTGCCGACATCGGCTTCCTTCGCTTGTAAGCCTGTGGTTATTTGCAGGCTCAGCACGGCTGTTGAGGGAGCTGGTAAAATAATGGAGTTCCTAGAACTCTGTGAGATCGTTGCCCTTCCACCTTTGGAGGGAGTCAGCCTGGTTTCAGGGCAGGAGGCTAGGAGGAGGCCAGGTGTGCTGAGCTGAGGAGGTTGCGAGGGGCTGGGTGCTCACAGAATACTGGGGCACTTGGCAGGAGAGCGTAGCCACAGGTGACCCCCAGGTGCTGAGGTACTGCCACCTCTGGGTATAGTCCCAATGTCCGGAAGCCCCTGCAGACGCAGACGCTGGACCCCATGGCCATCAGGGCGCCTGCCACACCTTGGGTCCCTGCTGCTCTATGGCGGAAACTGACCCCAGCCCAGAGGCCTGGCAGTAGGAATCGGAGCTGTTTCCCGGCCTGCTTGCCCTGAGGCCCCGGAGCACGCCACTGGGCATGGAGCCAGCGCAGAGGGCAGGGACAGCTCTCGGCACTCGTGCTCCTCGTGTGTGCAGCATTCCCGGGGTACTGAGGCCTGGGGTCCCCCTGTTCTGCTCTAGGATGGGAAGATGAGCATTGAGGAAGAGCAAAGCAGGGAAGCCGGTGATGGTGAGAGTGAAGAGGAGCAGGGTGAAGACCTGAGTGAGGAGGACCCAGAGAACAGCAGTGACCCCGATGGGCACTCAGACCTGGAATCGGACATGGACAGTGAGGAGGACTGTGGGTGGCCCAGCGGAGAGCCCCGGCAGGCCCCGGGGGAAGGAACGACAAGCATTGGTCACAGAGCTCGAGAAGCTGCCAGAAACCAGCTGCCCTATACGTTTGCAGGTAGACAAACACTGGGTTTTCTTTTGTGCTGGGATGACCTCGGTGACCTGGCGACAAGTCGGCCTCACTGAGGCCAAGTCTGTGGGGACCGAGGGTGTGCTTCTGAGCACGTGACTGTGTGCCCACCTATGATGTATGGGCTTGTGATGGGCACAGTCCTGCTCAGCAGTGTCTGGCCAGAGTGTTCGCCAGCCTGTGTTGACTATGGATAGTTTCGTGGGCCAGCAGGAGGGGGAGGACAATACACACCTTTCCACTGGAGGTCGTTGTGCTCTTTCCGTAGCCAACCTTTTGTGGTGGAAATGTGGCTGCCATGGAGAGCAGGGGTGGGGCTTGGGAGATGGGGGAGTCACCTGTGAGGAGGTTTCCTGTGTGCCAAACCTGGACACTCATTTGGCCGCATAACCCCTTAGAGTAAACGTTGTAGGTTGTGTGGTCTGGTGTGCAGAAAAGAATCCGGTTCTAGCAAGTGTCCTAAACTGTCCCGTGGCTTACGGTTACCTCCCAAGGCTGGCTTTTTCGGGCGTGTGCTGCGATCGGTGGGAGTCTGGGGGTGGTGACAGCACTCTGCCACGTGGTTCCTGCCAGCTCCTTCTGAGCAAGTGTGGACACTAAACCCCATACCTGCTGCCTTTTCACTGATCCACAGTGGCCCATTCTGCTGCGCCTCGCCCCCGGGACCCTCCGGAGCACACCTTAGATCCGCAGTCGGCGGTCATGGTAGGAGAAGGTGTCTGTAGGACACACCTGAAATTGTCTCATGGCAAGATGACATCACCCCTGTTCTGTTTCGTTTTTAAGCTCTCTGTTAACAGAAACATGGCTCTTTTCTTAGATGTTAACTGTGGAGTGTGTTCTGTGTTTTTGACAGCCCCTGAGTCCTACGAGGAACTGAAATCTTTATTATCGGGAAGGACAAGGGAGGAGCAGCTTGTGGTGGTGGAGAGAATTCAGACCTGCAACCATCCGAGTCTTGCTGTGGGAAACAAAGCAAAACTGGAAGTAGGTGGTGTGCGCGGCGAGTGTCAGGGCAGCCCCCACCCCCATCTGTGTGTCCAGGTGTGTGCGCCCCAGCCCCCTGCGGCCGTGCCCCAGCCCTCTGCGGCCGCGAGTGCCGGGCGGTGACCCTGCCCTGGGTCCTGGAGGAGGCGCTGTTGCCCTTGACTCACAGGTGAGGGAGACCAAGGCCTGGGCATGTGGCTCACGTGGCCTCAGGCGGGAGAGCCGGCCCGTCCGGGAGAGGAGGATGTGGAACGTGCCTTTTATTCACAACAAGTGCTGCCTATTCACAGCTGAGGCGCAGGGCTGGGCATGCTCTTGGTTTGCCCAAGGACCTGGGCGCTCTCTGCCATTGTGCAGAAGCCTGTGCCCCAGGCCCTTCTGCTGACCTGCTCATCCTGGTGCGGGTCCAGCTTCTTGACCTGCGCTCCGCATAATGCTCCCGTTGGTGGCCCAAGACATGTGCACACGTGTCGGCCAAAATGTGGGGGACAGCACCTGTGGTTTTGTTCTGGGGGTGGGCGCTGAGCTCTGCTCTGGATCTTTGTTCTGCAGAAATTGTTCGGCTTCCTTTTGGAGTACATTGGAGATTTGGCTACAGATGACCCACCTAACCTCCAAGTGATTGATAAATTGGTTGTGTAAGTAGCAGTGGTGGGTTAACTAGACCGCCAGCCTAAGCTGAACGGCTCTGTCCCTAGTTACAGTCGTAAAACTACGTCTCAGAGTTAGGCTGACCTTGTAGACAGGCTGCACGATATACACTAGCTACAGGCTTTCGGTAACGACGGTCCCCTCTGAGTGGTGAGTGTGCTGCCCCTGCCCCCCCGCCCCGGGCCCTGGGGACGGACACGCCGTTAACTACGAACAGGTCAGCTTCATGCTTGTTCGTGCTGTTTGAGGCTTATTTTGTGTTTCATTTGCCAATGAAACGTCAGCTCTGGTCGGACAGGCCGGGTATTTGGGACACAGGGTAGGCTGTGTCCTGGAGTTGCCCAGAAACCCGCCCGCTCCAGGTCCACACTTCAGGGGAAACCTGTCAGGCTGGTGCTGTGAGTGACAGGGAGGCCAGCCCCCTGGTCTTCTGTCCCCACCCCATCCAGGGACGGCTGAGCCTTCACTGCACTGGGACCCCCGTGAAAGCAGAGACGGGAGCATGGCTCCTGGCCCTGGGTTGGCTGGAGGGAGGGTTAGTGAGCACAGGAGCTAGAGGGGCCCGTCTGGGGCTAGCCACACACTGCATACCCCACGTCCCGGTGCCACCTTCTGCCGGTACCACAGCGCTTGGGAGGAACTGCTGTGCTCCTGTGGGTGGCACCTTGGACCCATTCCCTGAGTCTGGCTCAGAGAACATGCTCCTTATGGCCTTAGGCTTGTGCTGTCGCTACTGAGAAGCTGGACTTTCTGGGAGATGGCAGAAGTACAAGTGGTGTTCTGAAACAAACACTAGCAGGAGCGTTCTCTGGATCGCCCGGCAGGGCAACCAGACCAGTGAGGGGAGACGGGTGCGTCCAGGGCCTTCCGTGCTCACTTGCTCAGCCAGCAGGTGATGTCACAGAACATGGTGAACTTGAGGTTTGGGGGCATTCTTGATGATTTCGTTACCTGAGGTCATTTTCCCCTGACCCACGTTTCTGGTTAACAGGCAGTTATATAACCTCTGCCAAATGTTTCCTGACTCCGCAAGCGACTCTATAAAATTCGTCCTGCGAGATGCCATGCACGAGATGGAAGGGGCCGTTGAGGCCAGAGGCCGGGCGGCGTTTCCAGGCCTGGATGTGGTGAGCGGGGGCTTGGTCTCGGGCCCCGGGGGCCGGTGCTGTCGGCTGGCCAGAAGAGGGCCGGCTGAGTGGAAGTTGCGTGGTTTGGTAGGTTTGCCATGCCCTCGAGCTTCCAGACTGAGCTGGAGAACAGACTGGAACAAGGTGGGAAGGATTGTCTACCCCTGAACGAGTCATGGGAATGTGTTTCACTGCTGTGACGCCGTAGGAATGGGGCCGTGCTCAGCCTTCGTGGTGAAGAGTATAGGGCAAACAGAACGTGTCTGTGTTCGGAAGGACCGAGCCCATGCCCTGGCTCTGCTGTGGCCCCATGGAGACATCCAAGCACCTCTGGGGCTCTAACAGCCCCATGGCAGCTGTGGGCCACCTCATTGGCATCCATGACCATGAAGAAACACTTGCCCAGTCTGTTCTGTGTTTTAGGATTTCTGCGGAAATGAAGAGCAGTGATTAACAGAAGCTTAAACATACAGGGTCTGTGCTCCTGGTTTTAGTGCTCCTCCCCTACAACCCAAGTGGGATCTGAGCCAAAGTCCGGCAGCCCCAGCCCTCAGCAGACACCCCTGTGTAACAGCAGACACCCGCTGCAGAGACCACATGGCAGGACCCTTCCGGTTCCTCAGACAAGCTGTGTGGACCTGTGTCCTTGTCTGTGAGCGGGGCTGGGGTCGCAGTAAACGCTTCCCATGTCATGACTGTGTCACGGCCCAGATGCAGCACTCAGTACACGGGCTGTTGCTATCACAACAGCTCCCTGAGCGGACACTCGGTCCACTGCTGGTGACGCGAGGAGCAGGCGCTGCTTTCTACTCTGCCATCCTGTGCCTGTGTCTCCTGGAGTCCCGGCGGGGGGCAGCATGGGGGACTTGGCAGAATGCCCCCCCCCCCAGCAGGTCTGTGGCCGATCCTGGAGCCCCTGCCGGGAGCAGGAAGGAGAAGTTGGGGGTTCCTGGTGTCCCTCATGAGCTCACAGTGGCCCAGTGCTGGGGTCTGGGAGGGTTTCTTAGGGCCTTTGGACCAGATGGAGGGTGTGCAAAACCTACTAACCCAGGTGCCTGTCTGTGAAGCAGCCTCTCTTGTGCCTCCTGGGGGGGCGTGGTCCCCAGAGAGTGTCATCTTCCAAGCCGGCACTGTTCTTGAACAGAGAGAGCTGGGAAGAGAGCACGAGCAGGGGGCGCGGCAGAGGGAGAAGCAGAGAGATCCACTGCGGGGCTGGATCCCAGAACCCTGAGATCAGGACCTGAGCCAAAGGCAGACGCCCAGCCATCTGAGCAGGAGCGCTGCCGCGTGTAGCCTCACTTGTCATTTGCGTCCTAGTTGTGTGGGCCAGAGTCCTGGCTCACGTTGGCTCCTTGGGGCCGTGCTGAGCCCAGCGCAGCAGGGGGACTCAAGGGTCCATGGAGGGAGCGTGTCCTTCCCTTTCTGTCGCATGTCTGCACCCCTGCCCAGAGCCCACGGCCTCCCCAGCAGCTTCACCAGCGGCCTGGCATCTCTCTTCTTGTGGGGAAAGTAAATGGGTCCGGGCCAGGGCTTCAGCCTACATTTCCCCGAGCGGGAGCCCAGCCCAGGAAGGTCCCGTGTCCGAGGAAATGGGTGTCTGTGAGCGGTTCTCACCACATCTGCCCGTTGCTGTTTGGGTGTCCTCCGTGCTCGGCGGGCGTTCCGGCAGAGTCTGGTGTGTGCATGTGCACCAGTGAGAACGGGCGTGCCCCACCTGTGCAGGGTGGGGGCCGTGGCCCCTCACCGGGAGGGTCCAGACCTGCTTTGTCCTGTGCCATCAAAAGGCCATGTTTTAAACTTCGCTCTCCCTAATGTGTGTGGTGACATGGTCTTTCAGCTCGTGTATTTGAAAATCGCCGGGATGTTGTTTCCAACCTCCGACCTTCGGCACCCTGTGGTGACCCCCGCACTGGTATGCATGAGCCAGCTGCTCACCAAGGTACATCCGTGCGGGTGCATGGCCGGGGACCTGTGAGGGAGAGCCCAGGAGTGGCCCCAGACGAGGTCATAAAGGGGGTGACACCAAAAAGAGCCCTTGGAGTTAATGGTGACGCGCTGGGTCTCACATGGGCTCTGTTCCCCTTTTGGCTTAAAAAGACTGAGTAGCGGAGCTTTGCAGGCTGGTGGTGGGTCAGTGGGATGGGGCCTCGCTCTTCACCAGGGGTTTTCTGTTTTGTTTTGTTTTTAAGATTTTATTTATTTACATTATTTAAGATTTTATTTATTTATTTAATAATAAATAATTATTATTTACAAGTAGGCAGAGGGGCAGGCAGAGGGGGAGGGGGAAGCAGGCTCCTTGCTGAACAGAGAGCCCAATGCAGGACTCAATCCCAGGACCCTGAGACCATGACCTGAGCTGAAGGCAGAGGCTTAACCCACTGAGCCACCCAGGCGCCTCTCTTCACCGGGTTTAATCCCGCTTAGCCCCACTGTGGCGAGGGCCAGTGCTTCCTCTGTGCAGGGACAGCTCTGGGGCCACGGACCTCAGCCGGGATGCCAGCTTGTGTAGCTAGCGCGGCCTTCTGGTACCTTCTCCCTGACCACTGACCACAGCCTATGCTCCCATGCCAGTGCCCTGTCCTGTCTCTCCAAGACGTGGTGAAGGGTCTGTTCGTGTGCTGCGTGTTCCTGGATTACGTGTCCTTGTCTCGGAGGTTCATTCCTGAGCTTGTGAATTTCCTCCTTGGAATCCTTTACATCGCATCGCCGAACAAGCGTGGCCGCAGTGAGTTGTTCTGAAGCCCCGCTGTCCAGGCTTGTGGCCTCTCAGTGTGGCTGGCTGGACACCCCTGCACCCAAGGGAACCGGGGCCCCACTGTTCCCGCTGCCACAGTCACCAGCGGCCACATACGGCATGGACCCCAGAGACCGAGGCTTATTGTCAAAAATACATGAAACAGTTCTTTTATATTGATTCTGTGTTGAAATGACATTTTTATATTTGGGGTTAGATGAGCATATCATTAAGATCTTTTCTTTTGTTTTTGGGCCACAAGAACATTTGTGCTCCCTCTGTGTGGTCCACATTTCTAGTGTGCAGCCCAGTCTACGTAGTTTCTAGAGTGCTGGGAATTTTAGAAGGCGTGCCCCTCAGAAGCTGTATTGTAAGGAGAAGGAGTTTTAGCGTCTGCTGGCCTTCTGGGCTGTGCTAGTCTTGGCTCCCTGCCTCCTCTCACAGCGCCCATAACACTGACCCCCCACTGCTCCCCTCTCGGGTGGTCTAGGTGCCCCCCGGGCTCCGCCTCTTCCTCCGCATCCTCAGGACCACCTTTCCTGCCCTGATCAATCGATCATCCGTCATATCTCACTCCCATCTGATGCCACCATGTAGACCATAACGCCTGCCACGCGGACTGCCTCACCAGTGCCAGATGCACAACCCCAGACATGCTGTCTATCCTGCTTTCCCCTCGTGACGTCATAGGCAGACCCTTGCATGCAGCCGCTGCACCCGGGCTGCACGGACCCCCTTGCCATGTGCTCCTGTGCGCTGGGCCTGGGCCTGGAGAGGCGCGGGCTCGCCCGGGGGACCTGTTGGGAGACGGCCACAGCTCAAGGCACAGTGGACACTGCAGTGGGGGGCAGGCAGTGGGTCCCTTCCCTTTGCCCCACTGCCACTGGCTTTGTTGTGCCCGGTGTACAGGCCAGCCACACCCATTGCCTCGATTGCTCTTCTGGGTGGTGACGGGGTTCTGTCCACTGTGCCAGTGTTCATCCTCTGGGACAGGCCTTCTCTGACTGGGTTCACTGTGTGCCATCTGCTCCCGCTCTCCCCCTTTTCCCACCGCGTTGCTTTCTGATACTCCGTCTCCTGGATGCGGTCTACTGGCTGTCTCCCCAACAAGGTCAGGGATTAGGCAGTTGCCCCTGTCACCCCTTAAAGGAGTTAAAGGAGCTTTAACCCCACCTCTGGAGTCAACACGGTGAGAGTGTCTGAAGTGAGTCTTCTAACGGCCTCATCACGCACAGCCTGCCCTGTGAGCCGTGATGCTCAGAGGCCATCTTTGTCCTTGTCCCGCTTGGACTTCAGGTTACACTCTGGTGCACCCTTTCAGAGCATCTGGGAAGAACTCGGAGTTGCTCGTGGTTTCTGATGAAGAGGATAAAGCCACGTGGCAGAGGAGAGGCCTGTCCCTCCACTGGGCCTGCGGACTGAAGGCCCAAAATAAGACGGAGGCCAACCACACCAGGTAGGTGCTGGGGAGCCTGCTGCGCCAGGGAGGGCATGCTCAGGGCCGGGCCAGCCTGGAGCTGGAGACAGCTGGGCCCCGGAGGATGCACCAGTGTGGCATGTGCAGGTGGTACGGTCTGATACGGAGGAAATCCCAAAGATGAGAAAAAAGCTGTTGGATCTAATAAACTAATGCAGTGAAATCGCAGAGTACAAAGTCAACAAAAAATCAGCTGCGTTTCTATACACAGTGAGCAGATGAAAAGGAAACTTAGAGAATTTTATTTACAATAGCATCAAAAAGAATAAAACATGGGAATTAAATACCAGGAAAGAAAAGATAATTGACATTACAAGACATGGCGGACACTATTAAGGAAGGCTTGAGTGCAAGGGGACAGCCCATGTTCGTGGATCAGAGGACTCCCCTCCAGACACCATCACAGTGGGGACTGGGTTTCAGTGTGTAAATTGGGTGGGGAGGGCACACACATTCAGTGCACAGGAGGGCTGGGGCTTTTTGTCTGAAGTCCTTTTGTTCTGTAATTTTTTTAAAATTACGGATTATTTGACATATTCTTGTGTTGTGGTAAAACAACAGAAGGTGTACCGTTTTCACTGTGAAGCCAGCGGTGGAGTGGAATCCAGTATATCTACACCCTGGTGCGGACACCACCACCATTCACAACCAGAAGTTGTCATTCCTAGGACAAATTGTGTACTGGTCTCCCACTCCCTCCCTGACCCCTGGCACCCGGTCTGCCTTCGGCCTCTAGCATCTGGATCCTTCGGGGACCTCCTAGAAGTGGGATCACAGTGTCTTTTCTCTCGTGGTTGGCGTATTTCACATTACAGTGCCGTGTCCTCCGGGTTCATCAGGCGGGGGCAGGTGTCAGAATGTCCTTACTGTTTAAGGCTGGATAACATTCCCTCGTGTGAATGGCCCACGTTTTGCTCATCTGTCCATCTGTCCACAGAACTTGGGTGTTTCCATTTTAGCTGCCATAAATGTGGGGTGCAGGCATCTCTTTGAGGCCCTTTTCATTCTTTGGGTACCAACTGAGCAGAATTGTGGGGTCACGTGGTAGTTCTAGGTTTCATTTTTCTGAGGACTCCCCCATGCTGTTTTTCAGGTAGCACCCTGTTACTTTACAGGGACAGTTGCTCCCCATCCTCCCAACATCCATTACTTTGTTTCATGTGTTGAACAGCAGGGCATGGGTGGGGTGTCAACTCCATGCGGTTGTAGTTTACATTTCCCCAAAGCCGAGTGGTGCCAAGTGTCCGGTCGGGTCCACAGCTGTATTTCCCGTGGTGACCCTCTCTGCTCAGGGACACGGGGCAGCTGTCCTGCCCAACCCCACGCTGTGCATGTACTCCGGCCTGTGGTAGGTTTGTCAGAGCTGTGTGTTGGGGTTGTGGTTTTTGCCGAGAGGATAGACTGTGGCAGTGTCGGAATGGAACAAGCTGGTCCCCTTCCTGCCTCTGGGCCTGAAGCTGCGTGTCCCCCCCCCCCCCCCCCGCAGACTGTCCTGCCTGGCTGTGTGTTTGGCTCTGGTGAAGGGCTGCGCGCAATTCTACAGCTCGCTGCCGTCCTTCTACGCCATTGTGAGGCCGCTGCGAGCCCTGCTGATGGAGCACCTGGCCGGCCGTGGTCATCCCCCAGAGCTCCAGGTGAGGCCTCCGCCCCTCGGTCCTGTGTGCCAGCTTGGCCACCCCCACAAGTGGGGAGCAGGTTAGCGGGTAGGTTGTCTGGAGGGGTGGCTCTAGAAATGCCCACGGGAGATGATGGAAGTGGGATAACTGAGAAGAAGTGACTTGTCCTGGACGGGGTCTTGCTTGGTGCCGGTGGTTTGGCCGCCCGAGGTAGAGTTAAGGCTCCCCTGTGTGTGTCCATAGGGGTGGGTCCCTCGTGCCCATGGTGACAAGTTTCTCTGGGGAAGGAGAGTCCATAGAGTCTGCTGGTGCTGAAGCAGGCCTAAGTGCCCAGAGAGGTTTCTAGAAGGGTCTTGGGCATCTGTTGTCCTACCAGCAGGAAGTGTGCCCAGGGGTGTAAGCGGGGCCCTGTCCGCACAGCAGTGGGGCTTCCTCGCAGCCAGGGCTTGGCTGCGCCCGCGTTCAAGCCAGGAGGCCTCACGTCAGCCAGGCCTGCAACAGCCTCCACGTCCCTGGTTGCAGGAACTGTGCCAGAGCGCGCTGGCCAACCTGGAGGAACCCGAGCCCCGCTGCCGGCCACTGGTCTGTGCGAAGAGCAAGCCCGAGCCGCTGAAGCTCTTCACCCCCCGGCTGGTCAAAGTGTGGGTGTCGGGCTGGTGGGGGGTGGGGGCAAGGAGAGGGGCCTGGGCCTCCTGACACTGGTTCTCTCCTCAGCCTGGAGTTTGGGAGGAAGCAGGGAAGCAGCAAGGAGGAACAGGAGCGAAGGAGGCTGATCCACAAGCACAAGCGTGAATTTAAAGGGGCCGTGCGGGAGATCCGCAGGGACAACCAGTTCCTGGCCCGGATGCAGCTCTCCGAGACCCTGGAGCGGTGAGTGGGGGCTGGGGGTCCGGGCTGGGGCCCCGTGCACTGGCTCGCATGGATGTCAGCCGCTGGTGGGTCACGCAGGTAAAAATGCCAAGGTGAATGTAAAAATGGGGTTCTTTCTCTTTTTTTAAGGGATGCGGAAAGAAAGCGGAAAGTGAAACAGCTTTTTAATAGTCTGGCCACACAGGAAGGTGAATGGAAGGCTCTGAAAAGGAAAAAGTTCAAAAAATAAATAGTGGCCCAATGAGGCACTGAACGGAATAAAGGCTGTCTTCTCCTGCGTGCAGAGGCACCTCCAGACAATCGGAAGGTCTGTCCGGGTAACATCCAGTGAAACAGGTGACTGGAGGCCCGGCCCTCCCCAGGCCGGTGGAGGAGGCCAACATCTCAGGCTTGAGGCCCACTGACCGGCCCTGCATGGTGGCGCCGGTGCCTGAGGTCGTGCGCTGGCCACAGCAGTGACCAGAGGGATTGGGGGGGTGGCCAGAATGGATGTGGGGGCCTGAGCGACAGGGTGACCTGACGATGGTGGGGAGAATGGGGAGTGTGATCTTGGACAAGTTGACGGGTGTTGTAACTCAAGGTGCAGAGCACGGGGTCGGAGTGTCCCCGCGGGCCTGTGGGTCTCACCTGCCCAGCGCACCCTCGGGTTCCTGGATGAGACGCAGTGACACCCGGCGGGCCTCCCCTAGGGCCAGCGGCTCCCCTCTGGGCACACCGCTCCACATGTGTAGGCCCCGTCACACCGCACAGGGAGGAGGCCTGGCCTGCTGTTCCCGCACGGCCTGTGCTGTCCCCCAGCCGTTGCTACTGCGACTTTAACTCACCGAGTCCTTACATCCGGGACTCTGCCCGAGACCCAGTCAGGTGCGGAGACCTCACTCTAACGTCCCGCGGAGATCACAGGACCGCAGCTCGGGACACTCCCGCTCTGCCGTCCGTGGCAGGAACCCGCGCGGCCAAGCTCTGAGGCGCGTGGGGCGTGCGGGAGAACCGACGGGAGCAGGCGCGTCCTCCGGGGAAGGGGCGCCCGGTTTGGTGGGAGCGGACTCCCGGCCTCCGCGAGGCGGACTGCGACGGGGACCGGGTTCGGAATACGGCGCCGGGCTGCACGCACATGGCCGTGGGGACCAGCCGCGTCTCCCGACGTTCCCGTCACCCGGTGGGCAGGGCCGGGGCCTCCGGGGCCAGGACGGCCGCTGCCGCTCTCGAGGGTCCTCCGCCCCCACCGCCCTGTCCGAGGCCCCGGGACACAGGTGTGTGCGGTCGCAGCCCCGGGCCGGCACGTCGGAGACCCTGCCAGCAACCCCGTAACACTCTGCCCCGCGGGCGCAGCTACCCCTCCAGACCCGGCCCACGACCAGACCGCGTCGGCCGGAAGAGGAAGCAGCCCGGCGTTCCCACTTCCGGGGCGGAGGGCGTGGTTGGTGCGCGCCACGCCCCCGGCGGCGGGCCCGGCGATCTGTTCGGCATCCGTCCATCGGTCTGTGTCCGTGTTCGTCCGTCCGCCCCGAGCGCGCGGCCGCGGCAAGTGCAGGGCGGGGCTGCTCCCGCGTCCAGTGCGCTCCCCGCTGTCCCGTCCGGGAGACAAGCCGGGGTGGGGCGGGGTCCCGGGTGCGGGCGAGGTCTGGGGTTCCGGGCGGGCGGGGGCCCGGGGCCGCCCTCCTCCCGGGCCTCAATTTCCCCGCCCGCTCCGCTCGAGGACGGGGATGGCTGTTTGGGGTGGTATGGTGCCCAGGGCCGCGATGCCCTCATCCGGCCCCTGGCGACGGTTGGCATCCGTGGCTGCGGTTTCTCTGCGCAACTCCGCACCCTGAGTTTCCCGCCTCCCGGAATCGGGGGAGGGCGCCCGTGAGCGGGCGGGCAGGCGCTCTCTTTAGAGTGCTTGGTGGCTGTTGGCTGGCCGGGCGCCTGGCAGGAGCTGGGGGACTCAGTCTACCCCCGTGTAGGGCTGGGGTACCCAGAGGCGCGGCGCATGCAGACCTGCCACCCTCTCAGCCAGGCGGGATCATGGGCTGGGGAGCCGGAGGGAGCTGCACCCCGCGCCCACCCATCCGCCCGCAGACTGCGCAGGAGAAGCGCGTGATCACTGTGGTGTTCCTCGGCCTCCTGCTGGACCTTCTGGCCTTCACTCTGTTGCTGCCCCTGCTGCCAGGGCTGCTGGAGAGCCACGGCCGCGCCCACGTAAGACTGCCCCTCGTCCATGTCTAGAGGCGCCCCGACTCCCCCCACCACAGCTGCCCGCGCCCCGCACCCTCGTCACAGTCCCGTGTCCCCCAGGACCCCCTCTATGGCTCGTGGCAGCGGGGAGTGGACTGGTTTGCCGCTGCGATCAGGATGCCGGCAGAGAAGCGGTACAACAGTGTCCTCTTTGGAGGTAGGCCCACCAGCTCCGCGCTGGGGCCCCTGCAACCCTCTCCGGATGTGTGTCTCTGCCCAGCTTCCAGTCCATCCCAGCCCTTGTCCCCACCTTCCTGCTTCTGGGCACTGGCCGCTAGTATCCAAGCGCAATGTCCACGGGTGGTCAGGGCACCTCAGCTGGAGGCCCAGGGTGTGGGAGTGCAGGGCTCACCCTGCAGGACCAGACCCTCGGGGAACAAAACCTCTGTCTCTTCCAGGTCTCATTGGTTCAGTCTTCTCCTTCCTGCAGTTTCTCTTGGCTCCACTCACGGGGGCGATCTCAGACTGTCTGGGGAGGCGCCTGGTGATGCTGCTGTCCCTGGTACGGGGGGGGTGCCTGAGGCGTGGGAATGTGCGGCTTTTTCTCGCCTGCCCGGCGGCCCTCTGGGGAGAAAGGGGGTTGCCCCTCACTGCCCCCTGAATGTGGTGCTTGAGGGAGTGGCGGTCCCGTGGCCCAGCCAGGCTTTCCCAGAGCTGCTCCTGCCACCTATGGGGACCTTGGGAACACAAGTGGCCCTTGGATGCTCTAGAATGGGGCAGGGCCCCAAGGATGTGACCTGGGTTTGTCGGCCCAACTCTGGGCCCCTGGTGGCCTCAGGTGACCATACCCGCCCTGTGGGCTCCACCCTGAGGCAGGTAGGTCTGGCCACGTCATATGCAGTGTGGGCTGCCTCGAGGAGTTTCGCGGCCTTCCTGGCCTCCAGGGTGATTGGGGGCATCAGCAAGGGGAACGTCAGCCTCTCCACGGCCATCATAGCTGACCTGGGCTCACCTTCCGCCCGCAGCCGAGGCATGGTGCGTGCAGGTGACAGGGGATGAGCGGCTGGGGATTCCTGGGGTCTTCGTGCCTGGCTCAGGTGGCCTTCTCCTCAGGCAGTCATCGGGGTGGCCTTCTCGCTGGGCTTCACCCTGGGCCCCATGCTGGGTGCCTCCCTGCCCACGGAGACAGTACCCTGGCTGGCCCTGCTCTTTGCTGCCTCCAACCTGCTGTTCATTTTCTGTTTTCTGCCAGAGACCCTGCCCCCAGAGAAGCGGGTAAGGGTGGACCCAGAAAGACTACTGAGGGGTCCCGGGGCTGGGGGCTCAGTTTGTGGGTGTGTGGGGAGGCCGGGGGAGGCTGGGCTGTCTTCTCCTGGTGCCCCTGCCCCTAAAGCCCGTCAGAGGGACTGGAGGCCAGGGCAGATTCAGGTCCTGCCCCTCCCCAGCCGCCTGGCAGGCCCCTCCAGTCCTGCCCCCACCCCAGGCACCCTCCATCACCCCTGGGTTCCGAGCTGCTGCAGATCTGCTCAGCCCCCTGGCCCTGCTCCGTTTCTCAGCCGTGGCCCAAGGCCAGGACCCACCAGCTGGAGACAGTAAGGAGCCACCCACCTACCCCCCCCCCCCGCCCCCGTCCTGAGTGAGGGTGGGACAGGTCCCTTCCTCTATCAGCCCAGACCTGCCCCCAGCTTTCGTCAGCCCCTCCCCACTGCTTGCCAGGACTTAAAAGCCTCCGCCGCCTGGGCCTGGTGTACTTCCTCTATCTCTTCCTGTTCTCGGGCCTGGAGTACACGCTCAGCTTCCTTGCCCACCAGCGCTTCCAGTTCAGCAGGTAGGGGTGCTGGGTCCCCGATGGACCTGGCCTGGGAGCATCCTGCCATCTCCCCGGCCTGACGCCCCAGCTGCAGGGCTGCTCCCACCCTGGCCCTGAGGACCGTGTTGAACCGGTTGTCACCCCGGCTCCCTGGCTTGGCCTGCAAAGCAGGGGCGCTCAGCCAGCTGCAGGGCCCGGGTGCTCACCGTTCCCCCACCCCCAGCCTGCAGCAGGGAAAGATGTTTTTCTTCATCGGCCTCACCATGGCCGCCGTGCAGGGTGCCTACGCACGGAGGATCAGCCCTGGTGGGGAGATTGCAGCTGTGAAGCAGGTACGGGGCTCCCCGGGAAGGCTGGGGTGGGGAGCACTGCTGTGGCCTAAGCCCTGCTGGAAACAGCAGGTGTGGGTCTTGATCTCCACTGTGCCCACTGCCAGGCCATCTTGCTGCTCGTGCCAGCCTTCCTCCTCATCGGCTGGGGGCTCACGCTGCCTGTGCTGGGCTTGGGGCTGCTGCTGTACTCCTTCGGTAAGTGGGCCTTCCCCAGGCCGGGGCTCCTGGGTCACAGGCCCCCTGGTGTCTCCTGTGGGCTGACCTCAACCTTCCTGGTGTCTCCCACCAGCTGCCGCGGTCGTGGTGCCCTGCCTCTCCTCTGTGGTTGCCAACTATGGTGAGAAGCCCTTCCGTCGCCAGAGATCCCCAGCTGGGAGGAGGCCTACGGGCACCTGATGGCCTCCTCCCCGTCTCCTCCGCAGGCTCACCCAGGCAGAAAGGTACAATCATGGGTACCCTAAGGAGCCTGGGCGCCCTGGCCAGGGCAGTGGGACCTATGGTGGCTGCCTCAGGTAAGCACTCAGGGCCAGGGCCGCGCTGCTGCCATCCTGGGGCCAAGGGGTGGCAGGGCCAGGGTGGGCCCGCGTTCCCACTCAGGCTGTCTCTCCACAGCGTACTGGCTGGCAGGGGCCCAGGTCTGCTTCACCGTGTGTTCCGGCCTCTTCCTGCTCCCCTTCCTGCTCCTGTGGAATCTGAGGCCTCCAGCCCACGCTCTCAAGGCCGAGTAGCTGAGCCAGCCCCGCCCTGCGCTGGGGCAGGCGGAGGCCTGGGCCAGGGACCTCCCTCCCCCTGGGCCCAACCCAGGACAGCCCAGGGCCTGCAGCCCCAGAGGGCCTGACACCCTCCTGGCTCCTCCCTAGGTGTTGCTGGCCCTGCCTGTCCCACTGGGAGCATGACTCCAAAACCTTCCAGGCTTTCTCTTGGCCTCTCTTTTCAGCAGCACAGTGTCCGCCAGACCTCTGAATGTCAAAATAAAGCAGATGTTTCAGATCCACTGCCTCTCTTCGATACCTGCAGTGCCTCACCAGCCCCACCCCCAAGAGCCCCAAGCACCAGAAGCAGCAACTTAAACTGAAGGCTCTTAGAGCTCCATGGAAAAGTGTCCCAGGCTCTTCCCAAGTCAGCTGCCATTCTGCATGAGGCTGAGGACAGAACGTGGAACACGGGGCCCTCCAAGCCTGGGCTCAGCACACGCTGGGCGATATTGGGATGCAACCTGAACCCTGGCAGAGCAGGGAGACGGGGGCCCCTGTGCCGGGCTCTCCCCATCACATGTCCTGCCCTGGCCTGTGGCTGCAGGATCCTCCCCAGTGCAAAGCAACAGTGTTTGATCAAGAATTAAACAGTTGGGGGGGTGCTGGGGGGCTCCGTCGCTTGATTTTAGCTCAGGTCATGATCTCACGGTCATGGGATCTGCCCCTTTTGTGGGGCTCTGTGCTCGGGCACGGGGGCGGGGGGGGAAATTGGAGGGGTCTGCTGGAGATTCTCTCCCTCTGCCCCTCTTCCTCACGCACCCACACTGTCTGTCTCTCTTGAATAAATATTGAAAAACAAAATACTTGAGGTTCTCTTTTTGGGACTCGAGAAAAGTCCTACCTTAAAGGAACAAAGGAAAGCAATTAAATGCAAAATTGCTTCCCAAGTTTAGACAAGGAAACTGCTTAAAGAGTTTTATTTGTGAGTAAAACATGTTACAGTGAAGGACACAGGACCCATCCTCCCAAGCCTGTGTCCATATACACGACTAAACTTCATGTGATACAAAGAGTTAAAATAAACTACAAAAGTAAAATGGAAGTCATTGCATATGTGGGACAAAAGAAGGGCCAGAGTCCATGGTTAACTGAGGGACAAGGTGAGGGTGGGGAACCTGGACACCACCAAGGCAACAAAACCATACCCCAGAGAAAGCAAGTCTCCGGAAAGCTCGAAGCAGCGGGTGGCACCATGCAGCCAGCCTCAGGTTCTGCTTGGGGTCAGGAGAGGGAGACCCCAGCCCACTTCTAGGGAGGTGATGAGCCTAGCCAGGTGATGAGCCTAGCCTAGCCAGGCCTATGCCAGGGAGCCCCCAGAATGAGCCCCCACTAGTATCTGCTGAGCAGCTGCACAAGATTTTTCAGGAATCTCAGGGAAAATTTACGACGTCCCATGAGAAGAGGCAGGCCCGGCTCCACAAATGACTACTGTGAGAAGCTGGGGAAGGACCACTGAATCCCCTTCTATCTTAAGCGACCTTTTACCAAAACCAGGGAATCCTTCAGACTGGGTTAAATTAAGAGGCACTCCCTTCCCGGTTCCCGAATCTCCTGTGCAGGAAGTGCGCAGCGCTTTATGGCACTCCGCAGCAGGACCGAGGGGGAAACTAAGCCAAGAGCAGCCCCTTCATGTTCACGGTCAAAAATGGAGGCTGAATTGCAAACCTGATGAAAGAAAATTCTAGAAAGGACTCTCCTCACTTTTCATGTCTCTTCTCTAGGACAGGAATCTGAAAACCCCAGTAAGAAAGTGGAGGCCACTGAACCCCATTTCTGGCCTCAGGGCCATCAGACATGCACAGGGCGCATGGGGTGTACACAGGCCCCTTTGCTGCAGGGTCCCAGAATCAAAGGCCGTCAGGGTGCCTGGAGCCACTAGTGGGCTCAGGAGTGCTTTTACAGGGCTGAAGCTCTGTAGCTACGACCCATGGAGCAAGAAACGCCAGCAGAAGCTCCAAGTCTGACCCAGTCATCTGAGACGTGGGGGTGAAGGGAAGCCTAAGAGACACACAGCATGGGGACGGCACCACATAAGGACAGGGAGGGAAGGCCAGAGCCGCCTGGGCCTCCAGCTGTCCAGCCAGAACCAGGACGTCCGGGCCCGGGGGAGTGCACGAAGTGGGGTGCTGGCCCAGGCAGGGCGGACAGAAGTCGAGGGGCCGCAGAGACATGGCTCCCCACCCCCACCCCCAGGTGGAGGCCCGCTGTATGCGCACACGAGGTTAGCACCGGTCTACGAGGGGATTCGGTCACACTGTGAGGAGAGCTCTAGCTATGTAGAGGGATGGGCTTTTTGCATTCCATGACACAAGACAGGACACGATGGGGGCAGTCTGGTGGCATCGGTGTGTGCGGGACGGGCCTTCAGGAGTCACTCCTCTTCTTGCTCTTCTTCAGAAAGGAGGGGGTGCGGAATTTCTTCTTCTTCTTGGAAGGGGACTTGCCGGGAGACCCGTCGCTGCCAGGGTCCACGGCAGCCGCCTCCTCGGCAGCTGGGGAGGTGGCTTCTTCTGCCGCCTGGGCGGAGAATGGCTCGGGGCTGGCCGCCACAGGGGACCTGGTGGGGCTGGGAGGCTCGTGGGCTTCACAGAGCCCCTCCTCCTCCTCCTCCAATGTGGGGAAGCCGAGCGCTTCTGAAGGCTCATCAGGGGACAGGTCGGGGAGAGTCGGCTTAAAGGTGGCAGCTTCGCTGTCCTCTCCAGAGGTGGGCTCCTGCGGCAGGTCTGGCGGGCGAGGGCGAGAGACAGGGCTGAAGGGCAGCTGTGGGACCTGGGTGGGGCACCCCGAGAGAGGCAGTGCCCTGCACCAAGATGGCCGAGGGGCTGGGCTCTAGGGGCTTTTACTGACATGACAACAAGAAACCATAAATCAGGTCTACTCTACTTCAAGGCTCACAGTACAAAACGGAGACGTAACCTTAGTGGGAAGAGGTTGGGGGGGCGTTCTCAGCTCCTCCTCGTGGACAGTGTGCGGACAGACCGAGGCATTCAGACATGGTCCTGGGACCTCAGGCCCCAGTCAGAGAGCTGGACAAGCCAGCAGCACTGCACTAGGATGTTGTTCTGTGTTTAACACTTGGACAGGAGTCTGTTCTAGAACCCTAAGGGCATGTATTAGTAGTCCTGAAATTAGGCCTAAATTTGGGTCCACAAACCTGGTCTCCCCCAAGAAGAAAACAATGGAAAACTCCATGGTTAACCATGGTTAACTCCCAGACCTCGTGTGCACTGTGTCAACATCAAACAAAATAAAGCCACTGGAGGCTGGAGAATGAAAGAACAGAGGGGAACTGTAAGGTGAGGCACAGGGACAAAAACCAGGCCAGCTTCAGCATTCAAACACAGGAACTCGGGGTACAAGGGAACATGAAAGGGCAAAAGGTAACTCGCAGTGAAGTCACGGGCTGAGGGCGGGTTTCCGGGAAAGTTCCCATCACCAGATCTCTACAGAGACTCTGACCAGGGGGGAGACCAGTTTTGTAGATTTTTATAACATCCTATAGAGTTATAAGCGATTGGCTGCTGAGGAAAAACTAAACTTAGTATGGAGACACCAAGCCGCAGGCTGGGCCAGGGGGACCCAGCCGGCGCTGAGCGCGGGTGAGAAGCGGCTGCAGGAGGCTCTGGGCCACAAACGCTTTAGTGCTCCGGCTCTGGGAGGCTGGGGCCACCCCAGCCTTCCCCTGAGCCACCTGCTGTCCTGGGACAGTTCAATGTCCTTACTTAGGGGGACAGGAGGAAGTTGGCATGCAGAGGTGGCCTGTGGGTGCCTCGGGGAACTTGACCATGTGACCAAATGCCACATGAAAAATAGAGCATCAGAGCTCTCCTGCCCCACCCCCCAATTATGCTTAAGCTCTCAGCTTAAGCCCAGATCCCAATAAAAGCGACCCCCATGCAGCATGAGGCACACCCACCTGCCTGAACCTAGTCTGCGTGTGTGTCTGATCCCACCGGGCAAGCACAGGCTCGGCAGGGCCACGTGACCGCCCTGGAACTCCTGAGGTCACAGGCCTGGAGTGGCACTGCCTCGGTCCCCAGGAGTCCCCAGGGCAGGCCGCCACCACCCAGCTCTCCGGCAACCGAGCCTCTGCCAAGACGCCACTGCCTGGGAGGGGAACTGGGTACGAAGGGGCAGGGGCTCTGTTTTTACTTTAAATAAACAGAAAACAGAACTCACTAAGCAACAAAGCAGCAGGAGAGTGAGGCAAAGCACAGGGAGCGCGGGCTGAGCAGCAGGCCGGACGCGGGCGGTACTTACTACGGTAAGAGGTATTCTTTAGCACATCCGCCTCCTGCTTGTAACGCAGCCGCAGAAGAGAAAAGCACAGGGAGAGAATCTAGGCATTCAGTCACAGCCACTGGGTTACAGGAGGAGAACGGCTAAGCCATTCTTGTGGACAAACAGTGGGGAGGAAGACGAGCCACACGCTCCCCACAGGCACGGGAAGCACAACACGGAAGACCGAGGGACAGACGCGCAGGCCACACACCACAGACACACAGTGGGTGGTCTGAGAGGCCAGTGGAGGCCAGCACACTGCACGGACTGATTACTATGGCAGGTCACACGCGGTCCTGCAGCCCAGACACAATGGAAGACATTTCCAGAGGGGTGATCTGGACACAGTACGGCTTGAGAAATGCGTAAGCAGTGGGCAAAATGGACATCATAAACGAAGATGGGATCCGATCCCCCAAGTCTAGCTTCCCACCTTGTCCTGATGTCTCACTACCAAATCTGCTGCCTCGAGGGACCCAGGACAGAGCCAAACCAGGAGAAGCAAGGGAGACGGGCCCAGTTCAGAACCATGTGTCACGCTGGTTTCCACGCAAACACTTGCTTCTTCACCACTGTCCGTTCAACTACTGACACCCGGGCACTCTCCCTCACTGGACAGGACACGAAATCGGCCTCTCATGGCAGACCCCTCCCACAGCGGGGCAGCCACACGCTCGCATCCACCCCAGAGCTCACCTTCCTCAAGCCTGACGGGGGTGCTGGGGGGAGTGTGGGGGGCAGCAGGGGCTTCTGGAGGACTCTTTTCTTTCTGTTCTCTGGCCTCGTCCAGATTCTCTGCAGACGGACAGAAAGTGAGAAGCACACAGTAAAGAACGTCAGACATCATGGGCCTTCACCCTCTTCAAAGGCAGCCAGGCCCTCCTGCCCTGTCCATCCAGCTGCCTCGAGGCGGAATATTCTCATTCTTGGGGGCATCCAAAAGACTAGGAGGGCTCACGGCCACACTGTCTTCATCTCTCCAAAGGGACAAAGAAGACTGATTGTGACTGGGGTGTGGATCTGAATCTCAAAGATTCAACCAACTCCAGATAAAAAATAGATTTCCACTTATTCCAGAGAGAATCTGCCAGAGCTGACATTGTGACACATGGTGACCTGTGACAGCCGGTGTGTCTGCACCTGTGCTCCACTGAGGAGCCTCTCCCCATGGCTGAGCCAGGAGCCCGGGGCCCCAGGCACCCTCACCCTACCCGCCACCCCAATGGATGTCACATGAGGACTGCATTGGTTTTCATTGTTTTTATCCAGAGCATTTTCTACCAATAATTTAAACCTGGCAATTATACTTTAACTTTCTGAAGTAAAATATGCTGAAGAGGACCAGAGGGAAAAGTGCAGGTACAAGGATCCAGGATCCAGAAAAATCCGAGTCTACTTCTCATTTAGGGAAAAATACATACCAATATTATCCTAATTCCTTAAATCTCTTTCTCTCATTTGAACTTTTTATATTAACAGCTTGACATCACTAAGTCTCTATTTTGAACAAGCGGCTATCATCGGCAGGGCCTCTGATCTCTAGAGATGCCAACCTACTTCCTGAAGCCACATGCTTGTGAACAAAGGTCTTTCCATCTCCCAGGAGCTCCCTCAACCAGGAAAGGTGCCCAAGCCCCAAGGCTTGCTTCCTTCCTCCTGCGGGAAGTGCTGCCGTGTGGCACCCCCCGGGCCGAGGGCCAGCACTGGGTAGGGGTCTCCTGGCAGTGTCCCCCAGGTCAGTGCTCCCATGGCAGACAGCTCAGTGGTCAAAGAGCATGGTCACAGACACCCCATTCGCTCAACGGCTGAAACACCCCTCACGGAGCCTCACGTGTAAGGAAACCCGTGTGTCTTGTGGCTTCACTCAAACAACGTTTTCCTGTAACCCAGATCTCCCAAACATCGGAAGAGCCCAAAGGGCAGACACACATGTGCACTCTGGAATAGGGTTTGCCCACAGGACCAGGAGCTCGGGCCCGCACGCCACCAGGGCAGGGCCGATGGCGGCAGCGTGGACAAAGCTCGCAATGGGGCTGCGTGCACTGTCCAAGCATGACGATCAGAAGCAGAGCTTGGCGCCAGGGGCAGACTGGGCTCACTCCGCTTCGATGCGCTCGAAGTCTTAACGCCAGCACACAGCGACTAGAGCGTGATGGCAGTGATGCTGCAACACACTAAAAACCACTCAGCAACCCTTCCGTGTGCAACCCAACTCCAACAGCATCTATATAATATGGTAGTTGGTCTACAAGACCAAAAAAACCTAAATTGGAGCAAATCAGAGGTTATCTGGGGAGTGATACATAATTCCCTGGACTATCCCCCGTGGACCCAGGGCCACAAACACCATGGGACTTCCATCCCACAGGCTGATTCCTAGGGACAAGCTGGGAAAGACGTGTGGTCCCTGCTCAGGAGGCTTTAGTACAAAGACCAGGGTTGGAACTTACGGCCCTGAGGACGCAACATGAGCCTCCTGGATGGGGCGTGTCTGTGCCCAGGGCATTCCTGGTAACCAACCAAGGCTGCTCAGGGAAAGGGAGCCTTCACAGCAGAGGCAGGAGAAGCATGTCAACATGCTAGCACAAGGGCCTGCGACCACACCCTGCCCAGGGAGACCCTCTGGATTTGTGCAGAAAGACAGCAGCCTGGCTCTTGGACACAGTCTCCCACAGAGCCGGGCTGCACCTCCCTCCTAAGCAGACCGTTCCCAAGTGCATTTCCCCTTCTAATCCCCCAAAACTAGGTAATGTATAAGGAATAACATTCTGGTCTTAACCCCAAACACAAGGCTGATCTTCCATGCAAGCGACAGTCCTCATCACCCCCCCGTCAATGCCTGGGCACAAAGGAGCTCGCAGAGCACTTTCTCTCTCTCTTTGGGCACCACGATGCGGTGTAGACCAGCGTGTCCAGGACCCGTGCACACTCACCTTCGGGGCCCTTCTGCTTCCGCTCCACCTCCCGGCGGTACTCCTCCAGCTCTCTGTCGGTAAGCGTGTTGAAGGGGTTGGGACCCGTGGTGCTCACGATGACATGGGGCTGGTACTCTTTCTCAATGATGGCCTTGGAGGCTGTCACCAGCTCCCCCTGCAGACAAAGAGGCCCAGTCTGCAGGAGTCCTTCCCCGCGGGGACTCTCCCCCTTTGGGGCAAGGCTGCAGGCAGGGTGGAGTGGGTGGATTTCCTAGGGCACACAAACAACCCTGAGACTTGGCCTGGGCCTCACCCTGGGCCCTGAGGCTGAGGCTGAGGCTGAGCTGCAGCCTCCAGTAGTCAGAGACAGAGAAACACAATTTTGAAGGTACAGCTACAAAACAAAAGTAACAGGAGGGAAAAATCCTCGGAAAGTCCAGGTTTCAGGTACAACGGAGAGCACAGAGCACCTGGGGGAGAATGCTGTCTCCTTCCTGGCAGGGATGAAGAGCCGACTCTACATCGACTGCCCTCCTAACATCAGGAAACCCCCAGGATTCCAAGTCAGGGAAGGTATGCTCGGATACTGGCTTCCTTTCTAGGTTCACAGACTAAATTCTGTTCTTTTAATCATGTGTTTCATTTATAACTAGCTCCTGGAACCTATCCCCAAACACCGAGAAATTTTTTAAGAAGTCCCAAAATACCAGTATTTGAGGAATTTGGAAAAGCAAGAATGTGTAGGAAAGAAAGAGAAAAGGCAAGCAAGCAGAGCAGAGGTGGCTAGCAGTCAGCGCCCAGTTTGCAAAGGGGGAAGCCCCATGCTGGGCATCCCTGGGGTGGGGAGGCAGGCCTGGAGGGAGGGAGCTGGCGGGGGGGGAGGCATCTCTGGGGCGTGTGAAATGATGTCCAGCCTCAGCCTCCACTCACCTGTCCCAGCACAGCTCTGTGCCCACAGCCCAGCTTGGCTGGCCCTCAAATGGCCTGGGTTCATGTTCTGAGAAAGTTAACCAGAACACACTCACATGCCCATTACTTAACAGAAGCTTCCAAAAACAACCCATGATAGCAGAATCCAAAATTCTGATGTTAGCCCTGGTCTGTCCATACTCTCCTCAGTAAGACACACCACCAGTGAGAGACCGTGCCCGAGCAACGTGTATGAGAGACAGGGCCAGACGGAGTGCTGGGGAAAGGCAGCTCACCTGGGCCACCTTCTGCCCTGGCCAAGGCTGGGGGACCTGGGCTGAGGGGCTGCTGTCCACCGAGCTGGGTAGAGAGAGTCCAGAGGACTCCATGACCGATCAGGGACGCAGGGCCGGGGAAGAGAAGCAAAGGACCTGCTGGAATTGGCCACATTTGCTCAGAGAGCCTCCAGATTCAAGCTGACCTCGATGGTCAAAGGGAGTCCCCTTTCTGACCAACGCTGACCCAAGTTCAAGTGCCCGTTCACTCAGAAGCAGCCCTATCTCCCCAGGACAGAGGAATGAACCCCTGCCCGCTGCTCTCCACTCCTGGATGCCTGTTCCTGCGCACAGGCCCCAGGTCTGCTTCCTTGAGATGGGCCTGCAAGGCCAACAACAGCCAAGGCCTGACTGCGTGGTTCCCTAAATCTATGGCAATGTACGCCCTGCACTTATGCCCTGCCATCATGGTCAAAAAAATGAGGAGGTGACATGAGGTTTGACAGAAACGTTTCAATTCACTTCAATCAAAAGTTCAAATCAAGGGATGAATAAAATATCAAGATCCACCTGCCACAGAAACATCCATGCACCAGGAGGCCATGCCCACCCTGAGAGCCCTGACCCTCGAGGCGCAGCATGGTTGGTTCCCACCTCTGCCAGCTAGGCCTCCCTCCTCCAAATTCCTCAGCCAGCAACCGACAGCTGCCAAGACCCAGACTCTGAACAGACTGAGGGACAGAGGGAGCCTGTTATGTGGGGGAAGAAAACAGAGCAAGGCTTAGGATGCAGAGGGAAACAGGTCCCCCATGCAGCAGCCTGGACTCAGAAAGTAGGGTGTGACGTGGCTGCTCTCACCAGCAGGCCGCGGGGAGGCTCGTGCAGTGCCCCTCACTTCCAGCCACAAAACAGGGGCTCCCAGCAGACCAGATGCCCAGGCACTGCTTCTGCACCTGGCTGAGGCAGCTGGCGAGCAACACGAACACAGCTAGTGACCCTATCTCTCCGAGCATCAGGCTTTCATCCATAAAACCCACTCAGGTTTGAATTCACGTTCTTAGTGCTGGGCGACACACTTCTGAGTGCTCAACACCAAATGCATCATGTAAGTCTGTGAAGTGGGCCCAGGCCCCTCGTGTTCTACCACGCAGCACAAAATGTGGGAGGGCCACAGCCCACACACACAGAGATACACAAAGAACAGGGGCTCAAGGTACCCAGACCCAGCAACAGCTCTTGGCCACGCTGGGTAGCCTTCAGCATAAACTTGTCCACCCTAACCTCTAACAGCTCCATTCACCAGTAATGAAGTCCAGAAGGTGCCAGAAAGCCCCAGGCTACAGCTCCCAGGCACAGCGCTGGAGCCAAGAGAGCTGGAGCCAAGAGAGCCTTCGGCTGTGCTCAAGATTCCTTTTGGAACCGGAGTATGGGGTGTGGCTGAGAGTTCACGGCTCCTTGTTCTGTCAGAAGACAACATGCTCTGAGTGAACGCCATCACCAGGAAGGGAGAGACAGAAGCAAAGGAAAATCCTTCCCAAAAGCTCCAACCTTCTTAAGTCCCAAACACACATTCCTCAGATTCTCAAATGGAAAACAAGTGACTACACACCCACCTCACCGGAAAGAAGACATTTTTAGGATATTTAACAAAGTCCTTTTCACTGGTTCGAAGAGAAACTCAGGTTACCAGCCAGCAGCACCCATCTTGCAGAAGGAGAAATTCAGTCTGCATTTTGAGCCCCACACAAAGGCCGTGGGGACAACTTCGGTCAAGGGCATTGGTGGAATCATATTCTCAACAAAGAAATGAAATATGCTTAGTCAGTGGGAAAAAGACCAAGGGGCAAGTGTGAGCAGCAGGAGGGTGATGGAGAAAACGCAAGCTGAATCAAGGATCCCGGTGTGGGGACACCAGCATCTCAGCCGGGCTGGGCACACTCTCCTGGGCTAACTCCAGCCAGCGCACGGCTCACGCAGCGCGGTGCTCAGACGGTGGAGGGGACACCAGGACCACCGGGAGCTCCGTTCCCACCGACTCTGACCTCCTGGCCCGGAGGTATCCCCATCTATAATTCATGAAACCGAGGAGACGGGGCACACACCCATGTCTGACACTGCTGGGGCAAATCCAGAACAGGGGCGGAGGAACTGGCCCAAGAACCGCATCTCAGTACCGCCTGCCTTCCAGCGAGCCCTGGCAGCGTGCCGGCAGAGACCGCTATGTGCGATGCAAGCAAGGACTGTTCCAACCGGCTCTGCCCGTGGGGCCACAGGGTGGCAGCAACGGGTGGACTCCGCACAGGAAGCCCTGGGGCTCGTGGACTCAGCACACCTTCACACATCTGAGAAAAAAAATGAGGAACTCACAAGATCATAAAAGCTTCGAGCCCAAAATACTGAGATGCAAAACAAGTACGTCTTTCTCCTTTGCACTGAGGAGTTCCTCCAAGAATGGCAGCTGGGAGTACATTCTAAACGGTAAGAAACGGTACACATGGAATGAACACGTAGGTACGCCAAATAGTGTTATTGGTGGGGATTCCACACAGGGACATATAGCCTTTGGTAAGATCTGCTTCTTCCTGGCAACTGGAACATCACCAATGTGATAGTTGCATCTCAATGGAGGTGTATGAGTTGAAAGAGACACACCCCCAAATGTCCTTTGAATGCAGGGTGAACGTGACTATGACTTGAAATGCAGAGGCAGCCGCAGTCCACCCCAGCCCAAGTAGTGCAGCCTGAATGCTCATGGAAGGTCTCCTTCCACCACGTCAGACACGTACATGGAAGACAACTCTGGGCTTCAAATGTCCATGCCTTCTTCCCCATGAAACACTTTTTAAAAATTATCCAGGATTTTTTTAAGGGAAAAACAAAATCAATTTCATCCACAATAAAAACTGTCTGACCAATGTCCCCGTCCTCTGAAATGTCTTTCAATCATACAACCTCCAGGTGCCATGTTCACTGCACGTGCTGAATAAGCAAAGGTAGAAGGTACACAGGAGAGCCGCCACTGCCCACGGTCTACCCACACTAAGCCTCTTGCAATCAGCCTCTTATAAAAAGGCAAACTAAAAACCAAAAGCATGCACTAAACCAAAGTCACGTGCAGAACTTGGGAAACACACCACATCCTTACGATGGGCCCGCTCTCCACAGCCTTATAGAAAAACAATAGTTGTGGAAGTAGCCTCAGACCAAACATGTCCATGGAAGAAGAGGCAGAGCAGAACCTCTGCACAAGCCCATGGATAATTCCGAGACAGAGTCAAAGCTACTTCAGTACGTGAGATGGCGCCGAGCACGAGCAGACAGTGAGGAGTGGGGCAGGGGAAGAGGCGCGCGTGCTGACGGGGAGGTGAGGACAGGGCGGTGAGTACCTTTCTAAAAGAGAGAGATCTAGCAGGACTAAAGGTCTGCTCTGTAAGCTCGAGCCCTTCGATTGTTTCCGTACAGTCAGAGAGGGGTGCGTCCTGCAACAGTAAACTGAGTCATGAGAGCCCACCAGGCCCAGCTTTGAAACATCAACGGAGAGCACAGGACGGAGCCAGCCAAGGGCATGCAGCAGAGACAGCCAGCGACAGCAGTGGTGATGGCGCGGCCATGTGCGAGCACAGACCACACAAGCAGGGCCACAGCTGGCCCAAATGGGAAAACGGTCACCTACCCTGCCATCATGTGTAAAGCATTAGGTGGCAACTTCATTTTCAGAGATAACTACTTACACAATTATCTTCCACGTGCCACAAAGTACAGCCCTTCTCTAGAACGGTGTGTAAATGCAGAGACCACATTTACAGGTGCCCTCTATGAGCACTTTACCCCAAGCGGCACTTTACTGCAGACAGCAATACACAAGGAAACACAAAGTCCATTAAACCCACCCTCTTCTAGCATTTTCCACAGTAAACCGCTAAACTAGGGCGCACCCCGGTCCCCAAGCAGGCGGCATGTGTGCCACCATCACCAGGGCATGCATCACGTAGAGCAGGGCCGGGGCGGTGGCGGGGGGAGGGGGGGACGCGGCCCTCAGGCATGCTTGTGCTAAATCTACAACTTCAGGAAAAGTGGCCGGGTATTTCTTATCGAAAGGCTTTCTCACGAAGATAAAGGGTTGCCTAGAACACTTACCTCATTGAGTCATTCTCTCCCAACTCAAGACTAATTCTGGAGTGGACAGTCACTAGAGCCACCACCCAGTAATGTCAGACATTCTGAGCTCTTACCTGAACGAGGCTCCTGTCCATCACTACACCACACAAAACCTGGGACTGGGGGCCAGCCGTCTTAATGTCCTGTAAGTTCTGCTCCCGGATCTGAGGATGCAAGAAGGAGAAACACACATCAACAGTACAGAGAAGCCTGGCTGTGACTTGAAGTCCCTCTGTCTGTGCACGGGGGGGAGGGGGGGGGGGCTCCAGAGTCCCGCTCAGGCTGCACTTCTGCTCTGTCCCGCCCCTCAGGGCCCCCGCATGGCCACAGTGGCTGTCTGATGGGGCCAGTCCCACCTGTTTAACCATTTGTGAGTCTAAGAGAGGGACTGAGCCATTCCTGACTTTCTGCACCTCTAGATGGTTGCAGTAGGCACAGATCTCTCACCGTACTCGTTGAGGGGACTATCCCCCATGTGCCCGTCATATAGTGACACTGTGAACATGGTGGGAGCCCATGTTCTGACACAGCAAACATCTACAGCTCAGCGAATGAACGCTCAAGCAGAGGGCCAAAGGTTGTTCTGGCTGGAAACAGGCTCTCTAGCTTCCAGTTCTGCCCGGCTCTGTGAGCAAGCAGTTCCAGCACCAGCAGCCCGATCCATCTACTGCTCGCACACCTGTTAGCGCGACAGCGGAAGTGGAGGAAAGACACAGCCTCGGCTACCAGAGAGGTGGCAGAAGCAGCCCCCCCGCCCCGGGCAAGTGCGCCCTGCACCCCGGCCCACCCACCGCCGACTCTGCCTCCGCCTGCTACTGTTTCCACCCAGGGCTGATGACTGCTGGTACGCACCTTGTTCCTCATCTCCTGGACCTCTTTTGGGTTAGTGTTCAATGGGACAAACAGGTTAGGGACAGCAGAGGTGGAGGTTCTATGTCCATCCTCTTTAGTCCACTGCAAATATCAAGAACAGTTGAAAAGTCAGAATGGAGACAACGCTCTATGAGACCACAGCATCCAATCTGTCCACCGTGTCTCACACCTGGTCATGCATGAACATCACAGAGAATGAACCAATGACCACACCTCCTGTCACGGCAGCAGAGGGATCGGGACAGGGCATGTGCAAACAGGAACCCAGGTCATGACCGACCAGCACAGGCCCTCCAGAACACCCCACAGAAAACTCAGGCGTGGCACAGGCAGGCAACCGAGCTCTGCTCCGGGACTCCCGCAGACCAGCTGGGGAAGGGGGACCCTTCAGAGCACATTGGTTCACTGCCCTGAGAGTCCTCAATGCCAAAGCTGCTGGAAGCATGAGATGGCAGGGTCATGAAAAGCGATGTGATGTTGCCACCCAGGTGAAGGGAAGGGCCGCATCGTGAGGCAGGAGTGGGCATCACCAAAGTTTGGCACGGAAATAAACTACAGCATCAGAATGCACCACCGGCATAGCTCGTGTGAATCACCAATGTGACCATGTGCACGGCAGCCACCAGCAGTAGAGTTTGGTGATGTCGAGTATTTTCTATAACTTCATACTTCAGAGTGTTACAAAAATATCCCAAACAAACGGGAAGCGCTTCCTGAGTTCTCACTCGAAGGCCATTTTAGTCATCAGTGCGTAGCGTCAGCACACGCTTTCACCTGCCAGTTTTGGGATCGCCAATCAAATATGAGGTTTTTCATTGGATTCTCATTCGCACGCATGGGTGAGCACTGAGCAGTGAAACAAGGCCGGCAGTGTTATGCCTTTCGGGGTACTTTCAGGAGGCAGTCGGGGAGCCAGAAACCATAAGGCTTCAAGAAAGCAACACAAGTGGCAAGAGCTTAGCCGCCGCGAAGGGGAGTGTGGGATGGGCGTGAGCTGCGAGGTACTCACTGAGGGTTATCTTCTCAGATAAAAACAACTCCAGCTCTTTAGTAAACATAGCTTTTAGTCAAAAACATTAACCCAATAACCTCAGAAGCTTGAACATGTCTGAAACTTAAGAACAGTGACCATGAGTTCACATACCGACCTGGGAGCAGCGGCCGGAGCCTGCGCTACCCCGCAGCGGGGAAGCCCCACACGTCGCCGCTGAGCCAGGTCTCCCCATCAGTGTCATGTGCACTGCCTCAAGGACCTCACAGGAGTGCACGTGTTCTCAAGCCAATTGCAAATAAAGTGCACAGCTGCCACTACACGGGCGCTTTGGAAAACCTCACCACAGCCACTCGGCACTACATATTTCTATCAGCAGCGGAAAGGTGGTTTTTAGGCCCACTCCCTTTAACAAGCAAAATAAATAAAAACGAAACAAATGAAACTTGAAAAGAAAAAACGAGGGAGAGGGAGAGAGGGAGGGTGAAGGAGAGAGGAGAGATGGGCTCAAATGCTGAGCCCCGCCACGTGCACACGGAGTCTCTGCCCACATGACCCGTCCACTCAGGAGCACAGAGGCTCTCGCCACAGCCACCTGTGGAAGACAGAGCTGTGTTCTTTGGAATAAATCTATAAAGTAAAAACACTGTTATTTGGGGAACAGAAGGCCCTGCCAGGCCCGCTGAGCTAACGTCACCTGGACTCCTACAGAACGTGGCATGCAGAGAGGAGTCAACCCGGCCCCTGACTCTTCACAGGACCCCACGCCGGGGGCCTCCCTAGTCTGTGGCGTGGGAGCCACCCAGCTGTCTGCGGCCGGCTGAGGGGGCAGTGAAGACCAGTCCCCGCAGGGCGCGAGAACCAGGCCAGCGAATACCTCTCAGGGCCGTGCTTGCCCCTCCTGGCACAAAGCACGCTGACAGGGTCTGTCGCGGGTACCTGCAGGTGGCCTGCGCTGCACTTGGGTCATGCCACACCCAGCAGGAGTCACACGACTCACCACTATGGCCGTCTACTCACATGCAACAGTCCATGCACAAGGCAGCTGGCTTAGAGCATTCGGAGGCTTTGGGACAGCGAGCAGGGCACAAGGCTAACTAGAGAGGACAAGGTCAGCAGAGGAAACATCCGTGAGACAGAGTAAACTGCTTAAGACAACACTGGAGACTTGAAAGCACAGACCGCAGAGATTATGTGAAATCACTGGAGATTAAGACGCCACGATCACAGCTCGAGACCAAACTACCATTTTGTGCAAGAAGTTTTATGACTCCTTCAATACAATTTGAGTTAAATGGCAGCTCCAACTTGCGGGTTAGCACGTGTGAGTTACTCAGGATCTCTGTTGCGTGGAGCTACTGAAGGACAGATCTTAAGCAGTTTCAAACAGACAGATTTAGTTGAATTACAGCTGACACACAGAGCAGATTCTGGTTCGGGCTAAGGAAGGTTAATGAGGAAGGTTTGCTTTCAGTTCGGGTCAGGGGGACTGGATTCCCAAAGCCTCCGAAGCCCCAGCTACCCACTTGCTCTACATCATCTAACTATGAACAGTAAGGTAGGCACAGACCAAGCAGTTGGTAATACAGCTTGGCACGCAGACACCGGACGAGAGAGACTGCAGCAAGGGTTTCACGCGATCGTGTGTAACGTTCGTCCACACCTTAGTCTTCGACTTGGGGCTGCTTCCGTTCTGCCCCTCCTCAGAAGCATCGTCGCCCCGGCCAGAGCTCAGCCATCTTGTCTTCTCCCGCTGCTGCTTCTGAAAACTGTGTCTGAGAGGGGAGCAAGTGCCCGGGTCCCCGTCACCAGCGAAGGAGTAACCTGTGACACTTGCAGGAGCCTCCACATCGCTGTGTTTTTTAGATTTCTCTCTCAGAGCAGGGTATCGGTAAGGGTAGCCAGTTCTGTAACCCTAGGGGCCAAAGAGACAGAAAGACAGTCACCATTCCAGATCTCGACACAGTGTCACCTCAGAAGACTGTGTGGAAAGCCCTAGAAAAGCTGGGCACGCATGCACCTAGCTGCTGGCTGGCAGAGACACAAGGACTGACACCAGGACTCTGAAAGCAGCATTGCTCCTCACAGCCCCAGACCAGAAAGAGCGAACAACACCTGAGCAGGCCAACTGAGGGACGTCCACACAACAAACTAGGGACCTGGAACCCGAGCAAATACTCCAGGACCAGGGGCGCCATTAGAGGGAATCTCACAAAAATGATGTGGAGTCAAAGGAACCAAATGGGAAAGAACACACTGTATTCTTCCATTCATAAAAAGGACAAAAAGAGGTAAAACCAAGGTGGCAGTGGTCACCCCTGGGATGGGTAAGTGCCTAAAAGGGACACAGAGGTCCTGAGGTGCTGCTGGGGTGTTTTGTTTTATTTGTTTTATAGGAGGCTCCAAACCCAACACGGGGCTTGAACTCACAACCCTGAGGTCAAGCGTCCCATGCTCCAGTGACTGAGCCAGCCAGGCACCCTGGTACTGCTATGTTCTGACCTGAGAACTGGTTAGGCATTGTGCTCGGTCAGACAGTTAATAAACTCAACACTTAAACAGGGCTTACTTGCTGCTGGCTAGAGTACAGGCTATATTAATTAATACTTAGCTTTTTGTTTACCATTTAGGATAAAGTTTAGATACTGTCGCAATCTTTGGGGAAGGTCAAAGGTTCCTGACAAAACTGCTTTACTTTTGAATGTAACAACGCTCGAGTTGAACCTTCCGTTCTGCCTCATAACCACTCACTAAGGGCATACGACGGGGCCCTGCGGGTTCACACCTCGGGAACACACTGTCATAGCACCGGGCCCGCATGCTGGACTGGCCTGTGTGTTGAGTTCCAAAGACACTCTCTACAAGGCAAGTGTGACATCTTACTCCTAACCAGTGCTTAGCACCTGGTGGCTGTGGCATACAGACTTCATGATGACCCCCCTCCACAGCCCCCCGTCTGCTGTTAGCCCCTCCCTCCTGGAGCTTAGCAGGACCTAACTGGCTTCTAATCAGCGGAATTTGGCAAAGGTGACTGGATGCATTACTTACGAGTGTAGCACCCATCTTTTTGTTGTTGTTGTTTTTAAGATTTATTTATTTCAGAGAGAGCATGCACACAAGAGAGCGCCTGAGTGGGAGGGGCAGAGGAAGAGGAAGAGAGAATTTCAGGCAGACCCAGTGCCAACTGCAGAGACCGACATAAAACTTGATCCCATCACCCTGAGATTGTGATGTCACTGAGCTAAAACCAAGAGTCAGGAGCTCAACCGACTACACCACCCAAGCACCCCGAGTATGGCACCCATGCTGAGAGAGTCTCTCTGTCCATCACTGACTCTGAAAAACCAAGCTGCCAGGACTCTTACAGCTGTTAAAAAAATGAATCCTGCCCACACTCCCAGGGATCCTAGAAGTGGATTCTCCCCCACCCAGACTTCTGATAACGTCCAGTCCTGGACGACACGCTGACTGTAGCCTTCCTTGTGAGACCCTAAGCCAAGAATCTGGTTCAGCCGGCTCCTGACCCACAGCTGCATGTGTGGACCAAGTCATTCACAGCCACAAAGGAACAGGGAGTGACCGGAGAATCAGAGGCTAGTCATGCAAGAGGGGCCACGGCCGGTGCTCTGCCTGCCAAGGAGCTTTAGAATCCTTCATGTTTCTCCTGATTCTGTCCTGTAAGACGGAAGGGGAGGAATTTGCTCCCTTTGGGTGCTCCTCTTCCTTGGAGACCACTTTCATTACCAATCATTCCTTTACTATGTTCAAAAAAGGGTGGTAACAATCTCGAAATGAAGTCATCAGTCGGTGGCTGTTTGTTTCCCCCACCACTGCCCTCAGGAAGACAGGCAAGTGTCCACCCCGCAGCGTTTCCACTGCTGAGCGTGCCACTGAGGACGCTGAGTGCTAACCACTCGGTGGTGAAAAGGCCACCTTCAGCAAAACACGGTTCTTAACAACTGCAGTGTCTTCTTCCTCAGGAAGACACCTGAGTCGTCACCATGACTCCAAGATAAACCACTAGAACATCTCAAAACCTTATCCTCAGAGGGTACGGTTTCTTATACCTCCCCTTTAAATGCTACAATCCTAAAATGAGAGGCAATCCTCAGGCCTCAGACCTGCTGCAGGGCGTGGATTACAGCTGAACATAAGGATTCCTTCCTTCTTTGACAAGCTGGAATTACATCTTGGTTTTTCAGGGAAGCAATTTAGCATTTCTTCTAACTCTATGTTCAAATAGGTCTTACAGTATGACAATCTTCAACTATTATCTACCCTGCTCAATTATGGGCAAACATACATGGTTAATCAAATGCTACACAAAATGTGGACTATAGCAGCGGCCTGGATGACTCAGTCATTAAGCGTCTGTCTTCAGCTTGAGTCGTGGTCCCAGGATCCTGGGATCAAGCCCCACATCATGCTTCCCTCTCAGCGGGAAGCCTGCTTCTCTCTCTCCCACTCCCCCTGCTTGTGTTCCCTCTCTCACTGTGTCTCTGTCAAATAAATAAATTTTTTTAAAAAATGACAATAATCAGGACACCTGGGATGCTCAGTCGGTTAAGTGTCTGCCTTTGGCTCAGGTCATAATCCCAGGGTTCTGGGATCAAGTCCTGCATTAGGCTCCCCACTCAGTGGGGAGTCTGCTTCTCCCTCTCCTGCTTCTCCCTCTCCAGTGCCCCTTCCCCTGCTTATACGCTCTTGCTCTCCCTGTCAAATAAATAAAATCTTTTTTAAAAAATTACAATAACGGGGTGCATGGGTGGCTCAGTGGGTTAAAGCCTCCGCCTTCGGCTCAGGTCATGATCCCAGGGTCCTGGGATCAAGCCCTGCATCAGGCTCTCTGCTCAGCAGGGAGCCTGCTTCCCCCCCCTCTCTCTCTGCTTGACTCTCTGCCTACTTGTGATCTCTCTCTGTCAATAAATAAATAAGTTAATTAATTTAATTTTTAAAAATTAATTTAAAATTTTAAATTAATTTTTTTAAATGACAATAACGACTGTGCGACCATGTGCAGTAAGGACACTGAATACCACACCCTTGTAACAAGCGCTTCAATGATTCATCTTTCATCCTTCCTCTCCCTCCTCTAGCAAATTAGAGTTATTGCCTAATTCTGGTTTCTCTCCCTCTTTGAGAAGGCACTGAGCACACAACATGTGGTGGCCTGGCATTCTCGATTCTTAGTCCTTTCTCCTGTTTTCCTGCCTGACTTCAGGGTCACAGAACAGTGAGACACATTAGAGTGCCTGCCAGGAGGAGAGAAGAAGCCACCCCAGCACTCTCTGTCTCGTCGGGCCCCTTGGGGGAACCTGCCGCCCAGTGCTGACACCTGAGCCACGACTGCCCCCTCCCACCTAATGCCAGCTGCTTCTTCTATCTCCTTAGTGAGCTCTGTTCCTCCTCTTGCTCCCCGTGACCTGGCCCATGCCCTGTCTCCACCTCTGCAGCCCTCATCACGCCCTGTCAGAACTCAGATCCCAAATGCTCAGCTGCCTCTAGCATTGTGAGTCCCTCTCCCCAGCTATTATGCACTCCTTGTGTCCTATGAGTGGCTAGAGGCTCAAGAGCAGCGGGTCAGTTAACACAATCCATCTTTACGGGGCCAGTGAATTCAGGAGTTATGGAAGATTCTGCTTTCTCTGTTCATTCCGCCCTGACTAAACAAATCCAGCTCCTGAGGACGCTTCGCACACACTGAATCTGATACTCTTTTTGTTCCAAAATCTTTAAGGAAGTTAGACTTCCTGCCTCCTGAGGCCACCCGTCCCACCTGTGCCCTGGTCCAACAGTCCTGTTAGGCTAGAATGGGCCCCACGAGCCCCACGGGCCCCGGTGCTGCCATCGACAACACCTGCCACAGCTATGGCAGCACATGGGTGGGGGGGGGCGCGCTCCACCTTCCTACGCTAAAGCTCCCCCACCCCCAAGCCTGCTTATGGGAGGTCGGGCACTGCTAACTGCTGCTCCAGGGCCAAACTGTCCACTTCTGAGCAGGCATGCTCTCTGCTCCTGTCCCCACAAAGGAAACAACAAAGGAACACAAGCAACCCTCCCTATTTTATTGTGACTTAGCTTAGGAGTTCAATTGCCCTGGTGCTTCTTCATGATTTTTGAGGGGAAAGCATTCACACACCGCGTGAAGATAGCAATTTCACTTGCTATAAAAACACTGACATTGCTGCTTTTGGAACAGAAGCTTTATCGTCAGGTGGTAACAACGATCTTACCAGATTATCGAGCATCCGCATAAGGGCTTCAAACTCCTGCTCGCCAATCTGCCACTTGGGAGGTGAGCTGGTGCCCTCCCCTGCTGGGGACTCCGGGGATCGGGATTTGGCTTTGTACTTGCCAGGATCCAGGAGGACTAAGTTGTCCGGCCCTCCTGCACTGGCCAGAGTTCGAACCTTTTCCAAAACAAGCAGATAGTACCATTTGAGTTTCTTGCCGAGGACAAAAGGATCAGATCAGATGACGACAGAGAGATGACTCAAACAGAAATGTAGGTCTCTGAAGAAACCAAGCCGTCAGAGTGTAAGAATAAAAACTGAAGGATGGACAGAGACAGATAATCCACACACAAAGTCATTTTCAGAAGTTCTTCGTTAGCAAAACAAAGATACTGGGCCCTCTTGCTTGGAGGAGAAACAGGGAAACAAAGCCCCTCTTAAGGCTGTATGAAGGAGCCTGGGGACTGCAGTGCTGCCTAGATGAAGTCAAGGTTCCAGTGCGGAGAGCACAGACTTGGGATTGAACACAGCTGGCAAGTGTCTCCCTCTCTGCACCTGCCTCCACGAACAGGGCCATGAGGGGCAAACAAAATAACATGTAAATAAAGCACCTGATATGGGGCTGGCACACACTAGCATTCTGTAAATGGTGGTGACGTCTGTATTTGAATAACAAAAACTAGAAATGAAAAGCCCAATAACCGTTCACCAACTTAAATCAGTGAAATGGCATTTGCTCTGGTCAGTTTCCAAATCCACTAGCTCACCTCAGGCAAAGAGGTTATGCAAAAACTCATTCCTACTAAACAAGTATCAAAAATCTGCAAGAACCCTGCAAATGCCAAAATAAGTCATAGCCTGCAGAAACTGGTCCCCGCCCACCTGGATCTCACACGCGACCACCAGGTTATGGATGTAGTAGAAGGCCTCCTCAACGCTCCCTCCGACTGACACGAGCCCGTGATTCCGGAGAATAAGAACCTGTAGGGAGACACGAAAGCTGGAGGAGCTATGCAAGAAGACAGCTACTCTGACTTTTTTCTTCTTTCCTATACAATTTAAATACCAGATTAGATGCCTACTGACCTTGCTTTTAGGCCCCAAATTTTTCTGAATTAATACTTTTTCCTCCTCCTCAACCAGAATCCCATGATAATCATGGTAAGCCACTTCTCCAAGGGAAAGCGCCTCCGGGGAGATTGGCAAGAGGCCACATTTCATCGCTGAGACCTAGAGAACAAGCAGTCACCATGAATGAAGACCAATCAACAGTCACACCTTGATGACGTGGCAAACACTTTCCTCAAAGAAATAAAAAGGGGAACATATTTTATTTTGTTCTCTTCTCAGAAATAAATGAACATATGAACTTAAGATGAACTTTACTTCTGGGGCTTACTACAGATGGACACTTAAAAATCAAAGGCATTGCAATGCTGGGAGAGCCTCAAAAGAAATTCCATGTCTTTCTGGACTTCTCCCACACTGATCATAATGCTATATGAGCTCAGGCTTCCTCACAAGATGAGCCCGGCCCTACTGCAAGGAGAGACAAGGGCTCCCTCTGAGTGAGCCATGACCCTGCAAAGAGAAGGTTTGGACATGCTGTAAGGTTCTGACCCACTTGTCATCTCAGGCTGTAGGGGAGAACAAAACGTGAAATGTAGATAAGAGCCAATTTCTGAAGTTTAGAATAATTATGCTGTATAATTTCTCTTCTATTGCAAAAAAACAATCCTAAGTGTTCATAAAGCCCTTAATTTCCTTAATGTTCCCAAATTGACTTTGGAATGTGCTAACTTTTAAGGATTTCTACCTCAACTAACAGGCTCCAAAGATTCCAAGAGTATCCACAAGTGCAACAACTGCACACAAGTTCATCTAAAAGACGCCACCACAAAAAAGGCGGCAACGTCATATTTACTCTCTCTCACGGTATCAGCCTTCCTAGAAGAAGAAATTTCCAAGTGAAGTGATCTGGTATGTTTTAAAATAAATTATACAGGGGCTCCTGGGTGGCTCAGTGGGTTAAAGCCTCTGCCTTCGGCTCAGGTCATAATCCCAGGGTTCTGGGATCAAGCCCCGCATCGGGCTCTCTGCTCAGCGGGGAGCCTGCTTCGCCCCCCCACCCCTCTGCCTGCTTCTCGGCCTACTTGTGATCTCTCTCTCTCTCTGTGAAATCAATAAATAAAATCTTTTTAAAAAAATTATACAGTAAGCTGTTTGTAACCATATTTTTAAAGGTACTGCTAATAGTTCATTAAAATGCATGGACTTTTTGTGGCTGGAAGAGCACACTTTTTTTTAGAAAAAATTTCAGAAAATGATAGCTCTACTAAAACTCTTATGTTGACATCTAGAACCACATGTTCAAAGTAAAATAACTAAGCCAGACAGATCAAACATCCATTAAAACAATCCCATACGCATGACATTAAAACATCAGGTGAACATTCAGCATTACTGAATCCACGAGGTTATGTGTGGTAAAAATAAGTCCAGAAAGTCATTAGAATATACAATGGGTGATAAAAAGCCAATTCTGGAGAGTTGCAGCGTTTCACTGTCACATGACCATACTAACAACCAGAATGGGCATGTTCAGGCTGGGAGGTCTGGCCTGTGGGCACAAGAAGGGCCCAGGCTTGTTGACTGTGCTGGGGCGGGCTCTGGGGAAGCTCCGGGCTCAGAGGCCAGGTCTCCCAACAGCTTACGAGGTCTGTGCCTTCCTCTTGCCACAGCCGTTCCTCCTCTCCTTCCTATCACGATCCAGCCCCGGAGTCTGCTGGCTTCGGGCAGACATCTAGAGGCTTCCAGGCCTCAACCACCCCCTTCTCACGTCTGCCACCCCTATCTGGCACCCCAGGGACCATGAGCAGGTCCAGGCCTCCTGCATTCCTGTAGCACTTCCCTGAGACCACCGCATCCTCCCCCTGCAGCCTGTCTGGCACCCCCCACAAACCCTCTTCACAGACAAGGAGTCTGCTTACGGCCCTCCCTCTGCAGCTCCCAGCAGTCTTCCCCACACTGAAGTCTGACCTCACCCTCAACACACTCCAACTTTCTGTTAAGTCTAATGGACACTTTCAGATTCACACAGGTTTTCCAAAACTAGAGAGTGTATAGACCCCTTAAAAGGAAAAAAATTCTTTTAAGAAAGTAAACTTAGTCAAAGACTTTTTCTACTCCACAAAACCAGGCTTATTGACTTGTTGCCTCAAGAGAGCACAACTATGAGGACATGTGAAGCGCCCCTCGCTCCACAGCTTTCACTCTGAGTCGCTCAGGGAGCAGCACACTCACCGCAGCCCCTGCCGGCGTGTGGATGTGCACCACGCACTTGACATCTGGTCGCGCAGCGTAGATGGCAGAGTGTAACACAAAGCCAGCCTGGTTTACTCCTAGGTTAGTACTTCCACGATCTACTATCTCTCCTTGTATATTGACTTTAACCTGAAAATAAGCAAAAAAAAATTTAAGATGTCAAGAGGATTTCAAATGACCCTTCCTAGAAATTATTTCAGCCAAAGTTTAAAGTGTTTATAACTAATTCTAAAGCTTTTTTTTTTCTGAGTTTATCACATAAAACACAAACTTTGTCCTCTTTCTTGGGTTTTATAGGTCTCATGGGATTAAAAGGTATTTAATTATCAACTATGACCTAGACACACATGATACCCAAGAGGAAAAGGATATTCTTACCAAACTGGATGCAGTCACTTCACTATAGAGAAGTCCAAAGGGAACAATGAGGAAATGTTCCTGCTCGGAGCTCACTCTGGTCTGTAAGGAAAATTGCTGAGTCAGCTCAAAAATCCAACTGAAATTATTCGCATCTCTTTCTATCCAAACTCACAGGTTTATTGTGCGCATTCTGTGAGCTACGCAGGAAAGCCCGTAGGTACAGCGTCTGTCACGGAACTACAAGGACTGGAAGCTTCCATCATCATACTGTAGTCACGTCTCGGGTATATAACGTGCATCCTGGTCGCATTCATGACAAATGACTTCATAAAGAGGAAACCTGGTAGCTACAAAGCCAGTACCACATGCAGAAAGACACCACTCCTCAGGCATATCATGGTGAAAACCAAAACTTACTTTTGTCCAAAGGGACTTTGTCTTTAGTGCTCAAAACCCACAGGCTAGTGAATAATCCTAACAAGCACAAAAAACAGAGGGGTCTTCCTTATGGCCTGATGGATTTCAAAGTCTCAACCACACCCCATTACCACGCCCCTGGTCAGTTTGCTCCTTCCTCAAAGGCTTTCTTTCTACAATTCATTCAGTACCAATGTGGCACATGCTACGTACCTGTGTTAGATGCTCGTACTACCACAGGAAAAAAGAGTCCTGCCCTCTAAAAACTCAGTTTAGTCTTTATGATGATTTTGGGAGACTCAAACGATTTCCCAAAGCCATCATATTAGAACACGTTTACTGCTAGTCAAAGAGCTCCAACAGGGACGAGGCTGGTCATTTGTTGTAGCGTTCATGAGAAAGGAATTACAGTGTTTAGCCTAACTTCCTAACCAGTGTGGTGACTTCTGTAGTAGCCTGAACAGAAGCACACACAGGGTCTGCTGAGGCAGATGTCATGGTGGGCACCACATCCCCACTCTCCTGCCTCATTTCTTCATTCAGCAAACAGCCACTGACCGCCAGCTCCACCACAGGGGGCTAGGCTACAGATGGAAATAACTCTGGAGACCTAGTCATCAAACATTCTCTCTCACACTGAGCAGAAACCTGTCTTCCTCAACTTTTCATCACTCTTTCTAGTATGCAACACTGTACAAACCCAACTCCCCACTTCTACAATTTAGTTCTCAGACACCTGAAACTACCCGACCTCTTCATGTCAGCTTTGTGCTAAATTTACTTGATCCCTGAAGTATAGCATAACTCTGATCCACAATCACGGTAAGACCTTAGTTAGAATCCTAGCTCTGCCAGGTATAGGCCAGGCTCATTTGGGACAGTGCGTTCCCAGTCTCCTTATCCTTTTTTTTTTCTTTTTAATATTTTATTTATTTGACAGAGAGACACAGCAAAAGAAGGAACACAAACAGGAGGAGTGGGAGAGAGAGAAGCAGGCTTCCCATAGAGCAGGGAGCCCGATGCAGAGCTTGACCCCAAGACCCAAGGATCACGACCCCAGCAAAAGGCAGAAGCCTAACAACTGAGCCACCCAGGTGCCCCTCCCCGCCGGCATCCTTATTCTTAAAGAGGGAATGATAAGAGCTCCTACTCACAAAGCAGTAAACAGCATCTCCCCACGAGTACTAGCAGTAGGAGCAACAGTAGTAAATCATGACCATGAATGAGTCTGTTCTAAATCCACCTCTGTGATGTCCACTCTCTGTAAATCCCCATTTCCCCATTCTCATGGTTGTTTCAAAAATGCCCACGTGATTTCCACCTTTACCGAAAATATTTTCCCATTAATGGTGAGTTTAGTGAGGCTTATTTCTAAATTCAGTTCTTGTATTTTAAAAAGTGTACATCTTTTTATCTAAAATAAAACTAACTAGACAATTATCCCAATTCCCAAGTTGGATCAAAACAGAAAACAAGGAATTCCTTTGTGCATTTATTGGTTAGAATGAAAAAAAAAAAAAAAAAAAGGCTGGAAATAAGAAAAAATTAAACACCAGATATATTTACTTCCTTCAACAGTTTTTATCTCACACAACGTATAAAAAGTGTTTAGAGGGTACGTGTACAATTTAAGTATAATAATAAATCAAACACTCTCTAGTTTCCCGGAAGCTTGTCTCTTCCCTGTTCCCCAGAAGTAACCACTATCCTGAATTATGTGTTCAGCACCTTCTTCCTTGACTTTACAGTTTTACCTAATAAATATTCATCCTGAAGCCATATCTTGTTTAATTTTTATCTGATTATGAACCTCAAATAATTGGAATCATACTGCATTTTTCAGTGACCTTTCTTCCTCCACATTATTTCTGAGATTCCTCCACATTATGATACTCATGATACTGGATGAATACACAACAAATGTGTCCATTCTTCTGTCAATGCCCATGGCTCCTGTTTTGCTACATAACCCAATGCTGGGAACGTTCTTGTACCTGTCTCCCAGCATACATGGTCAGGTTTTTTCAGAGACACTAAATTATCTCCAAAGGGCCTAACTAAATGTACACTCCTTCCAGCAGTGTATGGGAGCTCCGTGTTTCTACTGCCATCTTCTTTAAAAATTACAATCTAGGGGCACCTGGGTTAAGCATCTACCTTCAGCCTAGGTCATGATCCCAGGGTCCTGGGATCGAGCCCCACATAGGCAGCCTGCTTCTCCCTCTCCCTCTATCCATCCCTCCCACTCATGCTCTCTCTCTCAAATAAATAAAATCTTTAAAATTAAAAAAAAAAAAATTCTGAGGGTGCCTTGGTGGCTCAGTGGGTTAAAGCCTCTGCCTTTGGCTCAGGTCATGATCTCAGGGTCCTGGGATCGAGCCCCGCATCAGGCTCTCTGCTCAGCGGGGAGGCTGCTTCCCCCTCTCTCTCTGCCTGCCTCTTTGCCTACTTGTGATGTCTGTCAAAAATAATAAAATAAATCTTAAAAAAGTAAAATAAAATGACTTTTAAAAGGCAGTGGGATGTGGCCTGACCAATTTAAAAAAAATTCTGAATTCGCTGGATTGCTTTGTGGATATAAATATATAACTTTCCAATTTCGATTTTTCAGTCCAACTGTGTCAGCGTCAATTACAATCCACAATGCGGACTCTTCTCCGTCTCTGATTTCAGTACATGAGATCCGGCTCCGGGTTCTGTTCTGTCCCTTCCTTTGCGCAAAGCACACTATTCTAATTACCATCACTTTATAAGTTGACAGTCGTTAGGAAAAACTCCTTACTTAGTTCATCTTAGCTACTCTTGGACTTTTTGTCTTCCATATAAATTTTAAAAGCATGCTATCAGGTTCCACGTTAAAAACCTACTACAAAGCCAATAACATGCTTCCCTATCACCATGCAGACCTTGTGCATATAGTTACTAGCAGTATACACTGTATGCTCTCTTGCTTATAATGACTTCTCATTTCTTCACATGGTCTTTGTAACGTTGTTCATAGCATACAACATTCTCTCAAACTGGTGTTAATAACGGGGCCACATCCCACCTACGCCTGGATATTTAGACTCAAATTCTATTATAAAGAATACTAACAGTTTTTCTTCCTTGACTTAAGAGCCTAGCAAATCTAGGGATACCTGGATGGCTCACTCGGTTGGGCGCCTGGCTCTTGCTTTCGGCTCAGGTAATGATCTCGGGGTCCTGGGATGGAGCCCTGTGATGGGCTTCCACTCAGTGCGGAGTCTGCTTCTCCCTCTTCCTCTGTCCCTCCCCCTGCTCGTGCTCTCTCTTGCTCTCTCAAACAAAATGTATCTCAAAAAAAAAAAAAAAAAAAGCCTATCAAATCTACATATTTTAGTAGAAAAAAGCTTAAAATATACAATTTTCTGAGTCTGAAGCAAAAAAGAAAAAAGTGCTGGGGCACCTGAGTGGCTCACTTTTTGTTAAGCATCTGACTTGTGATTTGGCTCAGGTTATGATCTCAGTGTTGTGAGATCGAGCCTGCATCTGGCTCCATGCTGGGTGTGGAGCCTGCTTGAGATTCTCTTTTTCTCTCCTTTTGCCCCTCCCCACCACATGCGCACACATGCACACGCGAGCGCACGCGCTCTCTCTCTAAATAATAAAGGCAAAAGTACTAAATATAGGTGTGAAGTAAACAAGAGCAGAGAATATCTGCAAGAAAGTTTCCGAAGGGCTGGTGCCACCCTCACTGCATATGTTCCTACACACTTGTCTGTCCCCTTGTCTGTCCAGAAGGACTGAGCACTCACATCGAAGATTTTAAGGTCACTCCCTAAAAACCAAGGACACCCAACACAGCCTCTCTGGTAAAGATCTACACCATGTCCCAGAAGCACAGCACACTGGCCACAAAGGTGGGCTCCAGCCCACCCCCAAGGCTTAGCACACCCCACAGTTGACACTGGAGCTGAACCAAGAGGCATTTAGAGGTGGAAAGGCCTCAGCATTAGCTAAGTGCCACCACGAGGAGAAGTCCAACTCCCATGCTAACTGGGCCACCGTGGCTTCTGACAACACCCCAAAGCTTCTCGAAACCTGATGTGATCTTAAGACAGAGATCTAATTCAGACAATCATCTCCAATCCTCCAATGCCTGCTAGTGCTCTTAACTCCCTTCAGCAGAAAATCCCTAGGCCCCCTTTCAAAGAAAGGGCACAGTGACCTGGTAGTACTTTTTGGTTGCACTGACAAATACTGTTAATATTTATTTTCTGTTAAGAGTTTATATAACACTTAGATTGTAAAACAAAAAATGAGTGCCATAAGTAGTTAAAAAAATAAGAACAAAACTTTCTTCCTCAAAGATTCTCTAGTTCACAAGATACAGGAAATATTTTTGTGCTTCAGTATCTTTTCTACTCATAAGTATTAAAGGCCACACAGATCATCTACAAAAGAGTGAACACTGACTAATGTTTTAATTCTGCCAAGTACTAAATAAAGGGGGTAATGGGTGGCAAAAGCAATTTCAGCAAGTTAAACTTAAACAGCATTCATAGTGGGGACTACTGGTAAACAGCATTTTAAACCCCCAAAGAATATGAAGCTGTTAGTAAAGCCAAGGATTACATTTCTGATTGTAGATGTGACATTTTCATGGAACTTAGCCAACCAATGAGCATTAAACTCCCTCCACAGAGCACTCCGTCAAGCAGGATCAGTCACAGATGCCGGCAATTCTCACGCAGGCGCCAGGGACAGAACTAAAGAACTGGCAGAAGTGGCAGGCTAAGTGGACCCTCCAACCAAGCACCACAAGGCACCACGGAGTTCCCAGTTCCTGTTTGATATTTTTACTGAGGCCAGATTTTGGGTTGTTATGTACCTACAGAAGCACCCTTCACAGACTCAATGTTCCTGTGAGTGGAGATGGATGGCAGACAAGCAAATGGAAAGTATGGGTGATAGTAACTGCTTTGGGGGAAATGAAGTAGGTGTGCTAGGTGGAGGTAATATCCTACAGGCCTGACCGTGTGGACACGACAGGGCCAGGTTTGCATTTTCAAAGGCAAACTTTAGCGGCAACGTGGGGAAGAGACAGAGGAGAGGGTAATACGACATCTCTGGCCAAGATCCATCCCATGTCCTGGAAGCACAGTGCACTGGCCAAAAAGGTGGGCTCCAGACCACCCTCCTCCTCGGAGGCTTGGCACTCCCCACAGGCTACAATGGAGCGAACCTAGCACCACTACCAGTCCACGTGTGAAAATCACCTACATGTGCGCTGGCTATGAAGAAAAGGGTAAAACAGTCTAAGCGGCTGTTAACAGCAGTGGCCCTAGGGGAGGTGAGAGAACCAGCAGGACTGACTTCTGCAGACGTCTGTGGGAGGCACACTTATTACTAGAAGTAGGCACTATATTAATAATTTGAAATATCCAATAACAGAAATTCAATGAAGAAACAGAGACTGGAATAAGTATAAAAGTCAGAGAAAGAGGTTATCTCAACAGAAGAGCAAAGAGAAAAACAGAAGCCTGACAAGACACTAGGAATCAAAGGTGGCCAAGAGACGGGGTGAAACTCCAACTGGGAAACAAGGTTTGGCTGCAGGTGGTCAGGCGCTCCCACATGCTCTGTGACACACTGTGCTCATTTGCTAGGAGAAAAGAGGTCAAGAGTTTCGAGGACAATAGACAGAGTAGAGAAACACTAGTGAGCTGGCTAAGTGAGACGTCCTACAGTGCCAGGCAGCACTGGGGATTCATTTGCAACTGGGGCTGCAGTCTAAGGAGAAAGCCAGTTGCAAATGAGGCTCCCTGCAGTAGGGTCTGATGCTTGGGGGCAGGGAGGAATAGCACAGTACTGGCAAAGAGTGGCATGGACAGGATACACCATGCTGGACCAAACAGGGAGGAAACTGGGGCCAATGGCTTGGGATGTAGAAAGGACGAGCCAAAAAGGCAGGACTTGTCTCACTCCATGACAGAACCCCAGAGCTAGAATAATGCTTGATACAGAATCAATATTTACAGCAGACACCAAGTAAATACTTACTGAAAGAAGAAAACAAAAGTCCTGATAATGTTAAAAAATAGCTAAAACTGGAGCAGCTAAAGAAAAAACTATGAGATGGGACGCCTGGGTGGCTCAGTCAGTTAAGCGTCTGCCTTCGATTCAGGTCATGATCCCAGGGTCCCGGGGCTGAGTCCCATATCAGACTCCCTGCTCAGTGGGGAGTCTGTTTCTCCCTCCCCCTCTGCCGGCCAATCCCTCTGCTTGTGTTCTCTCTGCCAAATAAAAACAATCTTTTAAAAAGAAAAGAAACTATGAGAAATAGAAGACTTGGGTCAGAACAAGAAATAAAACAAACATCTTCATTCTTTGGTTTTTAGGCATAAAAAGATTTTTGGGATTGGCCTGTACCCTAGTTCCCCTTACCTGTGGGAGAGACATTCCAAGACCCCCAGTGGATGCCAGAAACCACAGACAGTACCAAAACCGATATACACTATTTTCCCCTATGTCTACATACTCATGATAAAGTCTGATTTATAAACTGGGCACAGCAAGAGATTAATAACAATAACAGATAATAAACTAGAATAAGTATAATAATACACTACAGTGAAAGTTGTGTGAATATGGTCTCTCCCTCTCTCTCAAAATGTCTTACTGCCCTGTGCTCACCCTTCTTCTTGCGATGATGTAGGTGAGGAGCTGCAAGAGGTGAGTGCTGTGGGCGTGTGACTGAGCAAGCGGCTACCACTGACCTTGACCATACACCAGAAGCAGGGCCATGTGTTTCCAGACTGGCCGACAGCAAGTTTAACTGAAGCTGCAGAAAGCAAGACCCCAGGTAACAGGGGAAGACTATACTTTGGTAAACGCTCATTTATAAGGTCAGTATGCAAAAAGTGAGTTTTAAAAAACTACTGTCCTTGTAATTTTTAATTCAAACCACATAATTTTCAGATGATTACACTCTGCAGTCAGGAATGAGAAAGAAGGTGTTCCAAGATTGACTTCAGCTCAGTTGACCCTTCCTTCCCTAAACGGGAAGAGGTAGTGCCAGACACGTAATAGTCCATTTATTACTCAGTTACTACCCCATTTAATACTCACTGTGATATGATTGTAGATAAGCTGAGACCATCCAAAGAGATCTGCCAGCCGATAAAATGCTGCCAACTTACACCGCAGTAATTTCTCCCCTTTGTCATAGGCGATCGAATCAGATCCTCTCAGGTCATTCACAGGAGTTACCATACCAAGACCTGAAATAGAAGAGAAACAAACTCAAACACTTACTATTTCTGATGAAATATAACACAAGTAATAATAATCCTGAGATATTAATATTCTACACTGGGCTATGAAGTAAGACTCAAAAACTTCAAAGACTATTTCATAAAAATCATGTTCCCCAACATTAATAGAATTAAGTTAGAAATCAAGAACAAAAATGGTAGCAAAATTTGTGGAATGCAGTAAAGCAATGCTTATAACGGAATTTATAGCAGTAAACATATATATTAGAAAAGAAGAGAGCACCTAGGTGGCTCAGTCCATTAAGCATCTGCCTTCAGCTCAGGTCCTGATCTCAGGGTTCTGGGATCAAATCAACATCAGGCTCCCTGCTCATTGGGAGTCTTCTTCTCCCTCTCCCTCTGTCTCTCTCCCCTGTTCATGCTCTTTCTCTCTCTCAAATGAATAAATAAAGCCTTAAAAAAAAAGTTTAAAAAATGATCTAGGTTTCATCTTACGCAACTAAAAAAGAAAACTAAATCCGAAAAGAGTAAGAAAAAAAAGAATGAAGAAAAAGGAGATATCAAACAGAAAAATAACAGAGGGCACCTGGGTGCTGCTATCAGTTAGGCATCAGACGCTTGGTTTAGGCTCAGCTCGTGATGTCAGGGTCATGGGACAAAGCCCTGCATCAGGCTCCATGCTCAGTGGGGAGTCTGCAGGAGATTCTCTTTCCCTCTCCCTCTGCCCACCCACCCCCACACACATTTGCTCATATTCTCTCTCTTAAGAATAAATCAATGTTTAGAAAAATGAAAATAGAGAAAAACATTTAATATTGAGAGGATTAAAACCAAAATAATGAAATCAAAAGAAATGAAACACGAAATGAAAGGAAACAAAATAAAAGACACTTCTAAGCAGACTCCAACAAAACACGGCAGAAGCAGAAGTCACCAGTAAGAAGCAACAGAGAAGGGACATCACTACATACCCTACCGACATTAAAAGGATAATAACAGGATAATATGAACAACTATACCAGCACATGTTTTAATTTACATGAAACAGACAAAATCCTAGAAAGACATAAGCTACCAAAGCTCACTCCAGAAGAAACAGACATGCTGAATAGCCCTGTTTCCATTAAGCTGAATTTGCAGTTAAAAACGTTTCCATAGGGGCGCCTGGGTGGCTCAGTGGGTTGGGCCGCTGCCTTCGGCTCAGGTCATGATCCCAGGTCCTGGGTTCAAGCCCCACATCGGGCTTTCTGCTCAGCGGGGAGCCTGCTTCCTCCTCTCTCTCTGCCTGCCTCTCTGCCTACTTGTGATTTCTCTCTGTCAAATAAATAAATAAAATCTTAAAAAAAAAAAAAAGTTTCCATAAAGAAAAGTCCTGGGCCAGGGGAGCTTCAGGGGGCTCAGTGGGTTAAGCATCCACTCTTGATTTTTTTTTTTTTAAAGATTTTATTTATTTATTTGACAGAGAGAGAGAGATCACAAGTAGACGGAGAGGCAGGCAGAGAGAGAGAGAGAGAGAGAGAGGGAAGCAGGCTCCCTGCGGAGCAGAGACGCGCTGCGGGACTCGATCCCAGGACCCTGAGATCATGACCTGAGCCGAAGGCAGCGGCTTAACCCACTGAGCCACCCAGGCGCCCCCACTCTTTATTTTAACTGGAGTTGTGGTCTCAGGGTTGTGGGATCAAACCCTACA